ATAAAAAATAATAATAGAATAATATCCACAAGAGAATTCAATACAACATTAGTTAAGGACGCAACATTAGTTTTTGAGAAAATTCTGAATTAAAAGTAGAAAGATAATCGGAACAGAGTGAAACTTCAAACTTGAAATTTCTTTTAAACTTAAAGTATTTTTAACAGTGCCAAAAAACAAAGTGGGAAAGTTACGTTATATTATAGACTCACTAGAAAACTATTAAAATTATTTGATCATTCAAATTCTTTACCGTTAATTATATTATAGGTTTAGCCAGCCAATTACATAAAAAAACTTATTAACAAATAAAAGTTCCTATCTAATTTCTTTTATTTACTCAATAATAATTAACACTTTTTTAGTTAACGTTCAATATATGATGACAGACGACATAGAAAAAAAACAGAATACATACATATATGGATAATGTATTCTGAATGGTAGCTGCCATACAACTTCAATAGTAATTGGGCACACACAGTATTTTGAAAAACACAGTACTGAAATTTTCATACGGCAACTTAAAGTTTTAGTCTGTCCCATAGTCAGTTATGGCATCTTTATTCGCTTATAGGATAACAAATTCGTACGGATATCACAGAGTTGACAAGGTCAACTCTATTTTTTCTCGTTTCTTTTAAATTTAATAAAAGAACATCTTCGTGTAGGTGAAAGTGTTCTAATACTCTTTAACCAAATTAAAGGGAAAAGTTTTTAATATTTTACAATGCAAGCTTAGTTTACAAGTTTAGAGTGCATTGTATCGTATATGCTTAGAATATAGAAAAATAATTTTCACTAAATTTATGATTTGCAAATGGGAAGTATTGACATCCCTACAAAATCCTATAACTACAGTAATGTTCTTCATTTTAAATTATACAACAAAGTGTTGTAATCTTAATATATAGTATGTACATAGGTCTACATTTTTTATATTTTTACGTAAACATTATTATAATTATTTTAAACCAAAACTACCATCTGAGACTTTTTTGAAAATCTAGCTATATCTATCTATATGACATACATATTTTTTTTTTTATTCTAATTCATCAATATAATTCAGAAGAACAAAAAAAAAGCACAAAACACGCAAAAAATGCTGATAGGGCTGATAGATTGACATTTAAATTTATGTATGTATGTACATTCCTTATACTCTTTATATTATTATTTATTATAAATTCTTTATTTTAGTATATACATTTATATGTAAATTAAATTTATAAGTATACTTACTTATACAAGTTGATTCTGAAAGTTATACAACAAAATATACCATCGAAAATGGGTAAAATTTTTGTTCCGGATTTTAACAAATTTTCACGAAATTTTTGCTTATCCAGGTTTCTTTGATTATCACTTCGGTGCTGAAAAAGATAGAAACTCCAACTAAACAGTTTCAGAAAGGCTTAGTAAAGGATTTAAAATAGAATTGCTGCTTGATTCTACATTTTATGTACCTTCGTAAGAAATTTTTCCCATGATTTTTTCAGTTTCTAGCTAGATAATTTCGTAAGAAACTTTTTGAAACCTTGAAACTTTTTTTTATAGAATTTTCCCTAGCTGATTAAGCTTTAATTTAAGTCCTCAAATATTAAAAAAATTTTTGTAGTACAGAAGATATTATACAAAAACCATTTCTATATAAGATTTTGAAGGCCCTATTTTTCACTATTTTTCAATTTTATTGAGCGCTGTAATTATCAACTATCATTAACTTTGGATGATGAGAGTCACTCGGAAAACAGTTCATATTTTTATGAGCGGCTATTTTTATAGACAAATACGTTAATAATAAAATTGAAACGAAATTTCATACAAACTTTTAATTTGAAAAACAAAAATTGATTTTGAAAAATTTTAAATTTTTGAAACGAAAAACTAGAATTTTGTATTAGTAAAAACAAAAAAAAAATATAGTAATCAAAAATTTTTTTTCGAAACTTTTCTTGGTAAAGAAAATTGATAGGTTTTTTATTTTTGCCAATTTTCATAAGAAATGGTACCTATATGGTTTGAAATTTTTAAATGCATTTTTCTCACGTTGGGTGCAATTTAAAAATTTAAAAAAAATATTTTTGAAATCTAAACACCGTTTGGTATCTGAAGTTACTAAAATTATTCAGCTGGAGCGAATTTTTAAAGATATTACATACAAATTTTGACATTTATTCTAATTGAAAAAAAATTTTTATTAGGAGAATTTAATTCTTTTGAACAAAATGGAGTATTTAAATGATATGGTATTAACATTATGAAGTTAATAAATAATTAATGAATAATTAAATGGAATTAATAAATTTTAAACACATTTCTAGAAAAACTAAAATTGATGTTTATGTTGATGCAACTAAAGAGATGTTCCAGTAAGGCAATTAATTTAAAATATGCAATTGAATAGAATTAGATTCGAAAGAAGAAGAACAGAAATTTTTTCCGAATTAGGTGAACTTCATAGGAGAATTTGGTGTTCGTTTTGAGAAATTTGTAAATTTTTTGGATAAAAATTGAATTTGTTTATGAAAAGGATTATTAAATGGTTTGATTTTAATTAAATTTTTGGCTCACAATATTTGTGGTTGTTGTATATCTTCTGTAAGATAAAAATTTTTTTAATGTTTGAGGACTTAAATTAATGTTTAAATAGGTGTGAAAAATTCCATAAAATAAATTTCTTACTAAATTATCTAATTAGAAAGAACTGAAAAAATAAAACAAGGGAAATATTTGATTTTCCCTAAATTTCGAATGCTTAGTATTCCGAAGGTATGTACATAAAATACAGAATCAAGCAGCATGGCTATTTTAAGCCCTTTACTAGGTCTTTCAGAAACTGTTTGTTTGAAGTTCCAATGTTTTTCAGATTGGAAGTGATAATCCAAAAACCTTGAATTTGTAAAAATTTCGTGAAAATACATTGAAATCCCTGGAACTCGGAAACCCTTGAGATTTGGCACCCAGTCTGCAACAAAAGTTTTACCCATTTTCGTGAAAAATATGTATGGTATATGTTGTTGTATAACTTTCGGAATCACCCTGTATACATAAAAATGTATGCCTCTAAAACAAGGTAGACTGTAGGCGATTAAATAATGTTTATTCTCACCTAAATTCCTATGTATATATTTTAACAATTATTTTTGGCTAGTTACATACATATATAAGAGTCAAAATAAAATATATAATAAGTATATATAGCGAGTTTTTTTATGAAATATAGAATATTAATGTTATATCTATGTTTTTAATTCCATACATACGTACCATACACCATAATATCCACATACCTATAAAAAAATAGAATTTGATCCTGTAGAAATTCTTCTTGTGTACCTATAAATTTTTTCTCATATTTTAGTGTATGTATTTTAAGTTATTTTTAGCTAAAAAATGTATGGCAGTATGTTAAGACAAAAATTGCAAGGTTGTTGATACAATACTATATAATATTATCATGTCTTAGGTGAAGTCCTACAATAAAAACATACAAAAAATGCAAAATAGAAACTCATTGTCTTCTTATATAATAAAAATACTTCGTAAATGTCTTTTTAACGACTTCTTGATTTTCAGACTTTTTTTATTCCCATATATTGAGAAATAAAAAAAAATTCTACACTTTTACCAAAGTGATAAATTTGATTTCAGGATAATATGTATAAGCTAGTGTCCTTCCGAAAATTCACAATACTCTTTTTTCTTTTTTATGTTTTCTTGCAAAAATACTTGTTTGGTTGTTATTTTTTCCTTTGTTGATTATAATTTACTTTGTTAAGAAAACAAAAAAAATAGCTTTAGGAGTTTGTCTTTTCAAATGCATTAGTTATATAAAATTAATGTTATGTACAAAGCTCACCTGTGTACATACAAACATATTATTCTTTTTTATTTACAACATTATTGTCGTGAATTTGCCTGATTTCTATCCTTTTTATCACATCAATTACTGGATACTTTTGTATGCTCATATGGAATAAAAAATTGTATATATGTTAGTAAAATAATGTAAGATTATAAGTTTGAAAAGCTGCAACACTATTATTTTTTTGAAATTTGTTAGATCTCACAAGTAATTGGTTAAATAACATGGTTAAATTGTTGTACGAATGATTATGAAAAAGATTTATAATTTTTTTTTTTTAATATTTCCATGTTTTTAACCAATATATATAAATATTGAAATTACATATTTGTCGAAAGTTTTTAACAAATTTCTAAAATCCCTAGCTTAATCATTAACTTGTGTAAATGTAACTTATCATAAAAGAGGGTAAAATTGCAATATAACGAAATAAAATAATCATTTAGTCGAATCACTTGACGTGATGGATTGTTATTCAAAACTTGAGTTTTTCACAATAACCAATTTTAAAAATCGAAATTCTACACCGCAAACTAAAATGCTCTTCAATAAAATATCACCTTAAGCAATGCGACTAATACTTTTTAGGTTAATATAATTATAATAAATTTGGATAATAAGGTTAACGTTCCTTAAAAAAAAACAAGATTGAATTTTTATTTAATTTAGCACTGAATTTTAAAAATTACCTAAAATTAAAAATGTTAATAATTTTTCCATATAGAATTTTATAATATGTTGCATTCAAAATTCGGGTCAAAAAAATATACTCAACCTGAAAGCAAACTTTTTTTCATAATTTAAATTAAAAATTATCGTATGGATTAAAGGAAACTTTTAAAAAATAAATAATTATCGCATAATTATTGAAAACACAAATATATTTTTTGGCCTTTATTTGAAACAATTTTTTTTTTACTTACTTTCATTTCTTATAAGATAATTTTAATTTTTATTTAAATAATAAATGGTTAACACAAATAATATACATTTTTTTCTACATTTATTTAAATATATTTATAGATATAAGATTTTTTTTTAGATAACAAATAAAAATGGTTTTATATAATTTAATTTTTAGTTTTTAATTTTTTTTTATTTTAAATAATCTACTCTTTTTAAGGTTTAATTTTTTCATCGTAATTTTAACTTTTTGCAAATAAAAAAATTTTCGTTACTTCGATTAATTCACATTATTAATAATATATCAGTGACTTGAAATGAAAATATGCCTATTATTTATAATAAAATAATTGTGTTTTATAGATGAATTTGGTTTTTTTTTGAAGAAATTAGTTTGGGTAAACATTTATTAATTTTTTGACTATTTAATTTTAATTTTATATTTACAATTATTTTAGTTCATTACATGATAAACCTATATAGAAAGAATTAATAATTGTATTTAGTTTTTATTCCAACGCACTATTAAAAATTCGATTCATTTACTAACTTTTAAAGCAATTTACGTTACCTACATATGAAAACATATTTAATGCCATCATTCGTTAAATCATAATTTTCCATACCTTCATTAATTATAATTTTATGAGCAATGTAACAGTTTTTTGAGTTTTAATTCGAGTTTTCAAATTTTAATAATTATATCATACACATAATATAGTGAGCGAATAATTTGTTTCTATAACAATAAAAAGTCTTATATTCGCCTTAATATCAGACATGTTAAAATTTAATTTTAAAATAAAAATCCAACTAATTTTTGTAACTAAGCACAAATGTTTTACCGAACATTCTGTTCTTTACGTAATATTTTGTAATGCAGTGGGAGTAACAATTTTTTATTAAATTAAGATTAAATAAAAAAATTTAAAACTATTAGTTTTGAAAATAATTTCGAATTAATGTACAAAAATATTTTTTCCATTTTTTTAAATTTCCAGGGTTTGGTTTCTTAAAAACTTAAAAGATAAGATATTTCAGTTTCTGTTTTACATAAAATTATTTTTGTCATACACATAGAATTCATAGCTAGGAATTGATATTTCTTAAACGTTTCTTAAAGTTTTAAATCAAATCGGTTTTATATTTTAGAAAAAAGTTTACAGATCATTAGCCAACTCATTACTAATAAAAATTATAATTTATTTAAGCTTTTTTATACTTTCTCGAAGTTTTTTATTTATTCATAAAAAATTTCTGGTGGCAATTTAATTAAAAGACTTGCTTCATTTTTTTCCATTTGCTATCATTAAGCAATCTTAAAAGATTTTTATAGAATTAAAAAGAGGCCAAAAAAATTTTCATTCTCCTTTTTGAAATAACTAAAATTTGTATAGAAAAGCGAATTCTACATATGTAAATTAATTTTAAAAAAATTTCTCCTAGCAAATAATATTGCAAGATTTTTTAAATAGTTTAGAGCCCAATAATAGTAATTTGATTCTTTTATTGTTAATTTCAAGTCACTAATATATTAAGTTCGTATTTTAAAACTAATTATTAAATTTTTTTATAAATATTCTTTTTAAATTTTTTTTTTGTTTTTTCCTTTTTTTTTCAAAAATAAATTGTTCGAAATAAAAATCATCTATGATGAATGGTAACTTTGTTTCTATTCAATATTCGTTTTTTTTTTTAATGTTTTGTCTGCGTTTCGATTTATAATTGTATTCTAATAATGTTTTATTTTTTTTTCATAAATTACTCCTAATATTCATGATTGTACTATGTGTCTATAAAATTCTAAAATAATTTACATTTTTAATAATTTATTTATTTTCATTCCTCATTTTTTTTTAATTTTTAATATTCTTATCTTTAATCGTCGAATTATCGTTATAATATTAATATATATTAATATTGATATTCAATAAAAATTTTCAACATACTTTATGACATTTTACTAAATTTTTTTCTTTGTTTTAATCAAATTTATAAATTTTAATTTGTTTGTTTAATATTTTATTTTAAAGTTTTTCTTAATTATCTTTTAATATTTTCTTTTTACTTAACTAACAAATTTTATTTACTATAGTACCTATAAAATATGTTGCGAATGTTGAGTTTCAAATTTTCTTTTTTAAATATTCAGGTGGTCAAATTGTATATAATTTGAATAAAAATTTTACAAATAATAAATATATGTATAAATTTTAAAAAACTTGTTAAAAATAAAAAACAACATAAACAATATTTTTATCTGGAAATTACTATATATAAGTTACACTATATATAGGTTCCCGCTTCAATTCAATGAAGTTGAATAAATAAAAAAATATGTAAGTATACATATAATTTAAATTCTTATCATTTAATTCTTTGGTGAAACTGTTATTAATTTATGAGGTGTGACAGGGGATATCTAAAAAAAAAAAAAGAAATAATATTTTTCCATAAAAGTTTTTTTAACATAATCATACCCATAACGATCGGCTGCCCAAAAATGTATCATCATCTTCTATTAAACTATGGTGACCATTTTGTTGATCAATATATATTAAGGTGTCTTTACTACAAGTATTTGATGAATTTCTTAACATTGTCAAAGCCGCAGCAGATGTTGACGCTGTGTCACATTCCCTTAATTTATAATTAGAACTTGTTGAGAATGAATGACGTAAATTGACACTGGCGCTAACCAAATCATTACCACTACTATAATTACTTTTTAAACTAGTCGACAACATATGTTCTTTAATATATACTCCACTAGCTGATCGTTGTGTGCCATGAATCGGAACTGAACCAATATTATGCATTGGAATGGGCTGTGATGATATCGATTCAGAGCTAGGTGAATTTGTTTTACGTATTGGCCAACAAATACCATTTGTTAATGACTCAGTTAATGATAAATCAGACTTATTGGGAATTTTAATTTCATCAGAAATTGACTTAATTTCATCGGTTATATCCTTATGATGTCCATTCATAAGTTTTTTAGCAGTTGAAGTTTCGTTGCTAGAACTAGCACTACTTGAAGTATTGCTACTGACATTGCTTGCTGTACTATTACAATTGCTATTATCACTTGTAATACTTGTACTTTTGATCATTGAGTAAGAAGTCGTTGGTAACTCTTGCAAAACTTTTATTTTTGAATTAAAAGATTCACCTTGCAGAATATCTGTTGTATTTATAACTTCTTTTTTATCTGTTTTACTTTCAGTATCATTAACCATGGAATCATCTTCTTCGTTAGCATCATTATCTGCAAATTCCAAGCTTTCAATGTCAACTTCAGCAATTTCATCAGTTTTTTCAACTACGATAACTTCAAGAGTTTTGTTTTCATTTATAACTTCGACAGGCTTTTGCACAATAGGTACAGGAATAACTTCGGTTACGGCTGACGAAATTATCGTGCTTTCTAATGGTTTTGTTAATTTTGGTGATTCTTTCGATCGTATTTCTGGTTTATCTTCGGGGGTAATTAACGAAGGTGGCATACTTATTGATGCTTCGACTATTGGTGTTACGGTGCTACTTGAGGTCGTCGTTGGCTGAACTGTTGGGGGGCCTGGCACAGAAGACGCTGCAATTCTTGATACCCAATGGTCAGAAGAATTGGTAGAGCTTGTACCAGAACATTCGGCATTATCAATTTTTCTTCTTTGATAGAATAACATGTAAGCTTCATTGTTTACAATTTCATCTTGAATGTTATCTGATAACACATGCGTCACCCTTTGATCATCAAATTTATACCTAAAATAATTAGAAATGAATATTTACATAATTTAAATTAAAAAAAGAAGATTATACCATTGATGATCATATGGATTTTTACAAGCTGCTGTGTAGTGTCCAGTTTCGAGTGTGTCACCCTGATGATAACATACTGCATACAGATCGTACCTATTATCTTTTGGATCTTTATCTTTCCCAATTTTATTAAAATGATCTCTAGATCTACGCCAAGGGCTTCCGAAAGTTCCCAGATTTCGACTGGTTTCTGCATTACTACTTAACGTAGAATTATTTGAACCGCTATTACCAACTGGATTGCCGTAACAATCACGTGCCAAATGTGGCGACATATCAAAATTTGTTAGTGGAAATTTAACCATAGTTGTCAGTTTAGCAGAATCTGGTCCTTTTTCATGTTGCTGGCGGAAGCGTTTGAAATGTATAACTAAGATGTCCGGCAAAGACCACAGACCTAAGGTTTTTACTACCGGTAAATATTGTTGGCAATTTGGACAACGCCAAGCATCTTCTGCACTCAAAGTTTCAGCTTTTGTATAATGTTCCAGGCATTGTTCTAATGTTAAAGCACCTTCATTTATATTCTTTTCTTTAAGAGATGAAACACTTTCGTGTTCAACAATTGGATCAGTCAAATCTGAAAAAAATTTATCTGGTTCGGCCCATTCTAATAAAAGTTTAATATGAGGAGGGCCCGCATCATGTGACAGAACTGATAATGCCATATCAATTATTTCCATAAATAATGGATGTTCAACTTGTTCTAAATAAGTATCTGGATCAGCTGAAGGATCTTGCAGCCTTATTTGAAACATTTCACTCAAAGGAGTAGTGTAACAAAACGTTTCAGGTTTAATAATTGACGACATTTCTTTTAACAGCTTTTTTTGTAGTTCAACATATGAACAATCACGATTTACTTGTATGCAAAATGGAGTTCCTAAAACAAAAAGAGGTGTTAAATAAATATAATTAAATCTATTAGATGCCTCTCGAGAACTCTTACCAAATTTTTCAACAGACCCGTCACCAGTTTTTTTAACATTTGCAATTAAAAGCATCAAATCCGTTGAGTTTTCATCTTTAATTTCAGGTATCTCAATGCAATATACCGTATTTATACCATCTAAAGTAGATACTGGCTGAGAATCACAGAATACTCTTGAAAATCCTGTTTCATTAATATCGGCTAAAACAATACGATTTATAGCAATACCAGTATCTGAATGTAATTGTTCACGTAATGCAATAATAGGTGAACCAGATGGAACAGTTAGGCCCAATTTTATTTGCTTTGGATGTTGTTTAACATATAACACAGTTATAAAAATAATTTGCTGTGATAATTGTGGTAACTGAACTGAAACACAATGAAATGGATCAAATGTATTGCTTTGTTTTTTGCAACGTGGACATGTTAAAGATGATCTAAATTGTGCCTGAAATACAGCTTGTACAAAAGAATTATTACATCGTATATGATTGGCTAATGTTTCGGCAGCTATGACTTCATCAGGCCGCCCATAATTATTCTAAAATTTTAAATTAAAAAATAATTAATAAAATATCAAACAACAAAAAAAAAAATAAATACAATTTAATTTTCTATTTTACCTTAATAGATTTATAGCGTTTTTTCGAGGCTGTATTTAAATCTTCGTGTACTTTATCTAATAACCAAAATAAAAATTCTTGAGCATCATGCTGTGTTGAACTACGAAATTGAGTACCGTATCGGTCAACAACCGCCTGAAATATTGTTGTATATTTTATTAAATTAATAGAATCTATCTAATTAGTATGCTAAAAAAATTTAAAGGTATATGACAATAAAAACAAAAACTATAAAAAAGTTACTTTGAAATTACCTTAAATCCAGTACTATGATCGGGATCATTTTTACATAACCATAAAGCTTTTAACACATTTGCCAATTGTTCAGTTAATTCTCCTTTGGTACCGAATTTTTTAGAGTTAATTTTGTTACGCCTCTTTAAATCAACCTAAAACCAAAATAAAGCAGTTTTTTTAATAATTAATGCAAATATTTGTTCCTTAAAACAACTCTTAAAACCAAAATTTAATTGTTTTTGATTAATTAGTATCATTGTTGTATTATTTTTCTTTTTTCTTGTTTTTAATTTAGAATTGAATTTTTATTCAATTTTTAAATTAAAGTATTAAGATAAGGAAAATTTAAGTTTACTTATGATATGCTACATTTTTTTGCCCTATTTTAAATAATCGCTAATTTTACAAACACGTTCAAAACTTTTTATCAAAATTGAATAAAGTTGAAGCAATAAAAACTAAGAAGAAGCAAAACGTTATTAACGTCATGAAATTTATATACTCTTTATTCGCCATATATTCAAGTTCATATACACTATATCAGATATAGTGTCGAATTATTATGCAACAGGTGTTAATAATAGAAAAAAACATTCTATTTGATTGTAAAATAAAATATACAATATGTTTGCTACTCTAGAAATATCATATTGATATATCAAAATGTTTTAGCAGATGTGAAAATTTAGTTAAAGGAAGCGTTTTTCTTTAATTAACTCAACAGATCTATGAGACTATACACTAAATTTATTATGTATACGCACATATATAAAATATAATAATATATGTTGAGATAAAGTTTTTACAGAGATTAATTAAAATTATTAGGTCTAATAATATCTTAGAAATTGTAAATAGTACATTTCTTTTGTATTTAAGTTTAAATTTAAACAAAATTTTAAGGTAATTGCCTTAATTGGATCGTTTTGAATAAGAAAAATTTTAATAGGCATTGTTTAAGTAAGGGAATAAAATTTGTTCGCTTAAATTACAGTCATGAAATATCAGTAGTTATATATTTCCTGGATATATTTAATGATGACATAATGCATGCTGAATTCCATAAAGATTTAGCAAAGAAAATTTATTAATTATATTAAAGAATTATGTTTTTACAAATATTGAATATTAATCTTTAGAGCAAAATATTATCTACCAAATATAATTAATTTAATAAAACATTTACTTAAACTCAAAATTATTTAAACGCTTATAGGAAATAATATAGAAGGTGGCTGTTTCAATTGGATTACATTGTAAGTAAAAAAAAACAGTTTAGTTAACCTAACAAAATATACAGTAGTTTTCTTATGATGCTAGATAACTAGAATTTATTTATTATCTTTACTTTTGCTCAGATTAAATTAAATATTTAAATACAAATTCATTGTAATTATATTATATTTTTAGAATAATTGAATAGAAATGTTAATTCTATCAATTTATATTAAGTAATTATAAAATCTCGATATATATCTCGAATATTATGTGGACTTGTTATACTTACTTTATATTGGTCTAGAACAAAATATTCAGCCAAAATATCAGTATGACTTAAACATTGTAATACAGCATTCATAAAGCATGTATTGCCATGATTTTTAAGGCCAGTAACACCAGGCGTTTGATCCGGCGCCCATTGATATCCTTCAATTGGTGGTACACGATCAACTGATGATAAGGTATTACGACCGTCATTTCGATTTGACATTTGTTTATTTGCCTAAAATTATAAATTTTTAAAATTAATGTAAATTAAAATATGAAAGACTTAACTTATTCAATATAAAAAAAAATGTATTTAAAGAAATTGTAAAAATTTCATACTTATGATATGGATCACTAATAACTAATAAAATCGTATTTTAGATCACGTTTAGTTAACCTCGAAATTGTTTATATCGTTTATTCAATGTAATTTTCAATAAATACATTATTACATTGTAGGTTATTCACCTGTTGCATTGAAATGTAAATCATCTAAGTACATACTAATGTTCAAGTACTTAGTGTAATAGGTAAGCTATATATAATTGCTTATTTTCTTTTTAATAATTCACTACAAAGAAAACTATTTATTTTTTTCTTTTAAGATAATCAACGATTAAAAGTGCAGATTATATTAAGTTTTTCTTCTCTTGTAAAAAGGAATTTTTGATAATATTTCGTATAGGTACTTAGTTTTTATTCTATTAAGAATTTAAAAATTTAAATTGTATCTTATATGTGTATGTCTCATTAAATTATGTATACATAAATCTATTTTACAATCTTGAACTACGCCATACTTTAGCTAGTAGTGATGCTATTGTCAATTAAGATGATATATTCTATTATGGATTTCATGATTAAGTATGTAAATAAATGCTCCCTGATTAATAGAATGAAATCGGTAATATTTACATTAGTTCCAAATTTTCTGTTTTAGTATCAAAAAGGAAGCGTATTCAAATTGTCTTCAAACAAACTAATTTATTCTCAAAACACAGAAATTTCTAAAAGTATGGTTCAATTTTTATAACATAAGTAATAACTTTCATTTCAAAACCCGCCATTTCAACACAGAATTTCACTGTTTATATACAAATTTTATTTTGTTTTAACAAAATTACTTTCATGTTATTAAAATTATAATTATAATTCTGTGTTATTTAAATTATTTCTGTGTTATCTACTAAGTATATACTAATTAATAAATAAGTAACTTAAATTCAAAAACCACCTTGAATATAAGTGGCAAAAAATCTTTAAAAAATGTGATTGTTTTGGATTTGATTAGGATGAATAATACTAAATAACAAAATTTAAACAACAAAATTAGTTTTTTTTCTACATGCGATGTAACGTGTAAGCGAAATTTATTAAATTAGCAACTTCATATGAATATCTTTAAAAGTTTTTTCCTGAATTTGGCACTTGAGAGCTCATAAAAATAATTTTATGTATATGCATACTTTATGTTCTACGAGTATAATATATGTAATAACATTGTGTTTTCAAATGAAAATTTTGAAAAATTTAAAAAACTAAGAACTTTGGCTTTGTTTAAATTTATTTAAAATTATTACATTATACAGGCAATAAATAATTGGGAATACTTATATTGTAGAAATAATTTGACTTTGAAACATTTTGATTTTTACAAAAATTCATACCCTTGTTATAAATCTCAAATTCATTTGACAATTTGAATTGCAATTATATTTTGGAGTGTAGCAGGTGATTTTATAAGCTTATAAATCTTATCGATCTTCACCTCGGTAGAATAAAATATCATTTGAAAATTCATTAGAAAAACCTGCAAACACTTATAAGTATCGAATAGCATAGTTTCATGTTAGTAAATTTCTGATTCAATTAGTAAATTAATACCCTTTCTAGTTATCAATATTTAACTTTTATTTACTGCCAATCCCTGTAAGATTATAGATATTTTTTGTTGTTTGTTTTAAAATAAAATCAAATGTTTATGTTCAAATTGAATATTAAAGAAAATATTACGATTAATTCTTGAATCATAGGTAAACACACATATGTACATTCAATTAAATATTTTTATAGAGCTACTTAAATATTGCAAATAATTATTAAATTATATACTTAACAAGATAAATAATTTTCTATAATAGAAGCATACAATATACTTAGTATTACTTGCATTTGTAATTAAACATATTGAACTTAAAATTAAATAAAATAAATTCAACACCATTTAAACTTCATTACTAATTAAAAATATTAAAATAATGTAATTAAATTCGGTTGAACTTAATTGGAATTTTATTCAATCTTTTATTAAATATCACATGAAAATTAAACATAATAAGTAAGTAAATAAAATAACAATGACAACAAAATTTTAATATCATTCATAAAATATTCAATACAATTACAGCAATATTTTTTCTGTTAAAAAGGTCATTGAAATTAACCTTGTTTACATACGCATCTAACATATTATTTTATACTTAAATTGAATTTTAAATTTTAAACAACTTAATTAATTGTAAAACAATTGAAAGGGAAAATATGATGTCTAATTTTTTTTGATTTCATTCAAAATTTTATTAATAGTTAAGTATAAAAGCATTCAATTTATATAAGTGAATAGATTTTTATTTTTCGACAAAAACATCTGCATATCTACATATATTAAGATCAATTCTTTTTATAGATAATTATTAGTAATTTAACTATTTATATTTAGGATCTATTTACGAAACTCAAAAGTTTCATACGAGATTTTGGGGTAGGTACTTTTTCCAAAAAATTTCTAAACTCTACTGCATATTGAAATTTATCATTTGAAATAATTGAAATTATTTTCATATGCCAAATATCTTCCAAAAATTAATAAAAAAAAATACTTAGTCAAAACTACTAGCATATTCTTAGAAGTCTATTATTCATTCTAATTACAACTTGCCTCTAATTACAGGAAAAGAAATTTTCTGAGATTTTTAATATAAGTAGTAGATGTTTTCAGGAAAAAAAAGACGATGGAAATAAAATTTTTAAATACTTATAAGTACTTAAAATATTTAAGAGAAACAAGAAAAGAATAGTGAGTATTTAAATTTTCAAAATGGAATAGAATAATGTTTAACTAAAAAACATAATAAACAAAGAACAATGAACAACAGAATCTAAAGAGTATCATTGAATTAACAGACAAGAACTATCAAAAATTCTACAATATTCATTTATCAATAATAGTTATTCACACAGATACTTAATAAAAATTTTTTATAATTTAAAATCAATACTTATTGGAGCTCATCATCATACTTATAGGCATTGTGTTAAAATTACAGCAAAAAAGGACTAAATTTTAGATATTATTTATACATAATATAGATGAAATCGATAGTATAAAATACGAGTTGATTTCTTTTGCATCTTAATCGATATTGCAGTTAACAAAAGCATTGTAATTTTTAATGTTGTCAAAAAATGTCTACATTTGTAGTTTAAGGGATAATACAAAACACAAATGTCGCTTAATCAATAATGTCATTTGCTTGGTGTATTGTTAAAATTTTTTTGGCATTTTTGTAATAAATTTCAACTGCTGATTTTGTTTTTTGTGCAACATTGAAAATTTTCTGTGATAAGTTCATTTTATTCAATCAAATGTCATTTCAATAAAATGTCAAATTCAAATAATCAACAACAATTAATTGCTTAACCAATTGTCAACCTGTTATGTGCAAAAGTTGTACGTGAAAATTGATATGCAAAAGTTTCTTTTTGGCATAAATTGCTGATTGCCGGTTGGTGACTGCCAGATGCAATTATTGTCGACCGGCATTTTACATTATCGACTACACATTTTAATATACATATTATACAATATATTTAGGCAAAATTTCAATTTCAAATTTATTACTCTATGATGTAAAAAAGCATAATTTACTTATTCTTTCGTTGATCTTTTCTTATAAAAACAAAATCATCAATTTAAACACGTGCATTTCAAGCAATCATTTTTAGGTTTATATTATCATTTTCATTTTTTTTTATGGTTTCCTATTTTGTGAAATTTTTTTTTTTATTTTTGAATGTTAAATAAAAGAAATTTGCACGTTTAAAATAAATACGTCATATAAAATAACTACTTTTCTTATAAATAAAAAAATTAAAATATAAGTGAAAATTGCAGTAAAAACAAAGAAAAATTTTAATAAGTTTATAAAATAACTGCAAAAAATAACTACATATGTACATGCATAATAAGCACAAAACGGAATCAATAAGAGTAGAAAAAATTACTTAAGATTTAAAGAAAGATGATAAGAGAACATTAGAAGTGAAAGTAAAAATATTTTTGTATTTACTTTTAAGTACATTAACACTATCAAGCAAAAAGAGTACTTATTGGATTATGAATTCGAAATAGCGATAAATGAAAAATGTTTGAAAATTTGGGATAGAAATGAATATAAACCCGTATTAATATAAACAAATAAAACTTAGTTTAAACGAAATTAATGTAAGGATCATAATTAATAAAAATTTAAAATATTATTATTAATACATTAAAATTAAAACTGGGAAGACCTTAATGACATTAAAAAGGAAAAATGTATCTATATGGCCTATATGGAAGGTTGATCATTTCGTCCGTTTGCTATAAAAACAAATTGTAATTTATTGAATGATTTAAAATAAAACCCCGATTGTTCTTATGTACGTTCTTATAAATTTAAATATCTTCTTTACATATGCATGTTGAATATTTAATGCACCAACATACAAAATTTATTTTTAATTACCAATTTCTCAATAAAAATTCAAACCATTAACTCTAATTTCTTACATGCATTATACATGCAAAAATGAATATCATTTTTGTCAATAAACAATAAAAACTTTTAATTGATAATTTAATAAGACAAAATTTTTATTACAAGCATACATATTTAATTAATATCAGAAGTACAAGTTTTTTTTTTGTTTAACTTATTTAAATAAATCATTTTATTTAGTTTGAAATATAGCGATGTTCGTTTTTATCACATAAAAAAGGCATGCACTTATAAAGCTTTTTGGAATATTTTAAATGTTTTATTACTACAGAGACAGACAACTGGAAAATGTGAGGAATTTCAAAACGGATAAATAGAGAAAAAAAATTTCATAATAAAAATCTTACAACTTATAAAAAAAATAAATATTTTATTATTAACATTACATAAATGGTTACAATCAGATGAACGTAAATGAATGAATAAAATATGTAGTAGGTACTTATTGTTGCATAATATAGAACACACATGAGAAGACAAATTTCAATTTTTTTTTCTTTAAAAGATTTCAAAACAGAGATTTTCTGTAATTGGGGTCCTAAAATTTTTTTATTGAATAATTGAAAGACACTCAAAAATTAAGTACCTACCTAATTATCTATAATTTTTTTTTTTTTTGAAAATAATTGTATACAATGATAAGAAAATGTTGATAAATTTTTTGATAACAATTAATTTTTTTAATAAAACTTATACGTATGCAACTTTAATTGCAATAAAAATTCTATAGTAAAAGCAATTGCAAATTTAAAAAATTCTCAAACTTTATTATACTTATGAGAAGATATGAAAAAAAATTAAAGGAAGAACATTCAATAACTACTAATATTTTAGTTACAATGAAGTTCGTTATAAATTAGCAGAAAGGCTGAAAGATGAAAAATATTCAAGGGTTTTTTGGGAACAAAATGTAGCAAATTTATTAATGCTATTTAAAATATCAAATTTGGCATTCAATTCATACCAACATGCATTTCAATAGAAATTCATCTCTTAAATTCGCTTGCCGAATTACATATACTTCAAAGTAATAAATTTTTAAATCCTTTCGGGTATCACATAATTTTAATAGTTTAATGATTTGCAATTGACAGATGTTTCAATGTAAGTTAATGGAAAAGCAAGTAGATGTACTTATCAATTTCATCGATGAAAGACTTGAACCAAAATTTCTTTTCATAAAGAATTTATCATTTTTTTCCAATCGTTGATTTCTTATTTTTAAGTTTTTAAAAATTCAATGTTATGAAAGGAAAGCTAAAAATAAAAATTTTTATAGAATATAAATGAACGATTTCCTATTAAAATATTATAATATAATTATTTATAAAATTTACTCAAAATCTCTTAGTAAAAATATATTAAACTAGCTCCTTTTAATAATCTTATAAATTTATCACCAATATTTATGCATCATTTTTTAATGTTATTATGTTATTAGACATTGAGTTAATAGCGATAAGAGTCTAAGTAGATAAGACCCACCCAGGAAAAATAAAGATATTGATAATTTTATTATTAACTTGTTGTACATAAATTATTAAATTACTTATATAAAAATATATTAAAACATATATAAATAGTAGGTATGCTTGTACTTCACAATTGCACATTCAATTTATTTATTCTAAAAGCTATCTAACAAATATGCCACCAAAACATTTTTAAAATAACTACTTAACTACCTAGGTATACATATTTAGAATTATGTATGCATGTTATTGCCGAAGATGATCAAATATGAAAGACTTCTTAATTTTTACATTCTTTAGAGACAATAGTAGGTAATAAGTAGTTTCTAAAATTTTCTTAGCACATAAATTCAGGTATACTTCCCTATCTATCTATCTGCCCCAATTTATTTTAAATACTAGTACCTACCTAATATTAACGATAAAAATTTGGTTATTTATAAGTATGTAGACAAAATTTTCAGCTAAAAATGAATTACCTATTTAAACAGGAAATATCAGTAAAATCGTATCAAAAAAAAACCATACAAATTATATATAATAAAATTATGTAGAACAATTTCTATGCAGATTTTAATTTGCATTTTTCAAAATTTATCTTATATGTACGTACTGATACAAATATCATCACATAGAAGATAATTCTCTCTCAAGGTAAAATTAATTGAAATCAATTGACCATTAATTTAAATTTTTTTCTGTTTTTTTTTTTATGAGCACCTATGCTTTATGGTTGTATACAATCACATTTTTAAAGTATATGCCTAACCAGTGAAATGGGAAAAAATAATACATTATTTTGTATCCAATAATTGACACATTGTATACATATATACATATATATTTTTATATATTACAAATATGCAGATATTTATATACATAGCTATACCCTCATTAGATAAGGATATTTTTTCATTCTGTTACAATTGAATACAATTGAATATTGAATATGACTAATTTTTATGACAATAACAATAATGATTAATATATTTATTAAAAATTTATTGTTTTAAGTATTTTTTTTATCACTTACACCAAGACTAACTGAATTCACATGATGAGCAATTCTTGATAAGAATTTTCTAAAAGATGAACGTCTAAATACACGATTCGCTGTAGAGATAAAATTATTATCCTTTGGGCGGGATTGATTTTGATGTTTTGTTGTTTCTTCGTTATTTGTTGACAAATTTTTTAATTTATTTTCAACATTATTTATTGACGTTAATGTTAATGTTTTGGCCTTATTTTCTGCAGTTGAATTACACAATGATGATGAGTTTATTGAATTATAATTTGTGTTGCTACAATTTTCACTTATTATAGTTGAATCATTCTTATTTGTTTTATATTTTCGCGACCAACGAAATGGATTTCTAGGCATTGAAAATGCCCGACGTACTTTTTTTCCATTTGGATTTTTTTCACTTTCATTTTTGGAATTTTCTTCTGTCATTTCTTTACAAAATAAATTACAATATTTACATAAATAAAATTATAACAAGATATAATATTAACTGAACGCTTAAGCTATATTTCAGGGAACTTTTGCTAAATACTTTTTACTCTTTATATTTTATTCTTTTTCTAGATGTTACCAACTACCACCGGTTACAAAACATTTGTCCGAATTTCCGATTTATTTTATTTAAACAACTTAAAATTTCATCTATAATACTTTAATTAAATTAATTAGAAAATTTTTATATATTTTTTTTTTTGTGTATGTTGATTAGAAACAAAAAAAATATGAGCAGAAAATTTTTGACGAGAAATTACCACGATTAACTTCACATTCACCGTTCACATACTTTTCTGACTTAAGCGTGGCAAGAGCTGCCATCGTTGAAAGTTTTCCATGATAATTGTATGTCTCTTTCTATTGCATAAGTAAAAGAAAATATTAAGGGTGATGCTACAATATGTTAAAATAAAGTGTAATGTTTTGTGTACAAAGTTTAATCAACTAATTTTAACTAATGTAATTTTATTATGCTCTACTTAAAAATCAATCAATAAAATTATTAAATTAAAATTCAAATAAATTCCTTTTCTATGACTGCCCAGCCAGCTACATGAAAGCTTCGAAATAAATATATGTAACTCTAAAAATTTATCTCAAACAGAAAATGACATTTCCATTGAAGCTTAATTTTCAATCAACGTTTTTTTGTTTTTGAAGTTTTAATCAAAAATATTAGATAAAATCATGCAGAAAATACCAATATGATGTAATTGGATTTGCGACATACGAGTAATTGAAAATTTTTATTCAATTCAACACTGGCTTGCAATTTACTGTCGAACAATTCACACAAGATCCCCTTACAAGATTGTATTAAATTGTGAACTGTCATTAATAGTATTTTGACATGTTATTACTTTGACACAATTTTGTTGTTATTCATCACACATTATTCGCTATAGTGCAAACAAAATATTATTGAAAGATTTGTCTCATAAATGTATGTTTTGTTTACTAGCATTATGTAATTGTATGTAATTAATTTAAAAAAAATAAAATAATTACATTTAATTTAATTTTTTGACAAGTTGCATTAATTTTATAATAATTATATCAATAATATAATCTGATTGAAAATATGGCAAACCTTCAATGTAAAATCTGGTTTTTTAATGTTTTTTTCATATGATTGGAAATGCTGCACAGCATTAAAAAACGCATGTGATAAAAAATTAGATAATTTTATTCCCAGTTTAAAAAGTAGAAAAAACCATTACAATTCACCAATTATAGTATCTATGGTGCGAAGTACAACAATTTAGGTAGATTTTCATACCTCTACGGCTTTGACAGTCAATTTTACTGCCAAACGCTTCGGAACACATCTTGGAGTTTGAAAGTTAAATGAAATAGATTGAAAAATGTGTTTACACTTGCCTTAATTCATTTTTTGACAAACGGCGTTTTGAAAATAATCAGTCCAATATGTTATCGAACTTATTTTATACGGAATGTACGTAATTTTATATTTCAAAATTAATAAACGTATAAATATATCACAGCAATATTCAGTAAATTTTATTATCCAGTAAGTAGATTTAAGCTGTAAAAGTAAAAAGGAAATTGACATGAAAAAGCGATTGTTTTTTTGCAGTAATTCTGTACTCAAACAAAAGAAATGGTGACATTACAAAACAAATAACGTATAAAATTTTGATCAACTTGGTTGCCTTGAATATAATTTTGAATCAAAATAAATCAAAAATTTTAAAAGTTGAATTAAAATAATTCAACATTCCAATTAAACCGAGTTCATCAATATGTTTAACCTACAAGTCGGTAGTACTATGGTGAGGTAACCCTAGACAGAAAAACAATAAGTTTTTCTAAACATTTTTTGCGTTTATATGCAGCATCAAGCCGACTTCAATCATATTTTGAACTCATATATACATTACTTGAAATTTTCAAGTCAAGTCAATCCGATAATTGTCAGCTAATGTCAAACTCAAATCGATTTTAAGTAATATTATTTCAATCTATACAGATTGAATTTTCAGGTCAAATATTTGATACTCTATGTAAACGAAGTAAAAGCTATAGAAGTTTCGTTAAGTGCTTCTCACTAAAATTACAATTTTTCGATTTTTGGAAATATCGATGTAGTTTACTTTGGAAGAAACTTCACCTAAAAATGTTTATAGTTTTACGTGAATTTGAAATGATTATGTTATATGTGAATGAAATTTGTGTTTGTTTTTTTTGGTTATGTTTTTTGTTCTTACATTTAAAAATATTTATATTTAAAATTATCTTAAAAGTTTTGAATCAGATTCAGATATTTCACAAAGAATAAGCAAATGGTTTGATAGATATGTTATCAGCTGGTGTATTCAAATAAAATATGTTCGTAGACATTAAAATAATGCAGAGGACAAAAATTTTAACAGTTAAAATCCAGATTTATGGTCTGGGTATCAAAAGATTCAAAGGACAAATGTTTATGGAACGACTACAATAACCAGTCCCATTCTTTCAAGAGATCTTGAACGAAATTAAGATAGTAAAATAAGCATTAAATATACCTAGTATGAAATTTGTTGTGCCAATCGTTTTATATGGAGTCGAAATGTGGAAATTAAAATGATATAGTTTGGGTTACTTATACATTTTGTATTGCAAAAAACTAATCGGTACAACAATCAGACGAGAAGATGAAAATCTAGGTTAATATTATTCTGGTGTAACGTTAATAAAAGACGTTTGCGCAATTCTAATGTTGAATGCATAAAATAAATGGATTTAACTATGTATGTAGGTACATAATACATTTTAATGTAATAGACTATTGGAGATCCTGTGGTTTTACCAAATATACAGTCGCATACGACTGAACTTTTAGCAAAAGAAGCGACCACGTCAGAATAAAATGAGCTATGAAATCAAGCAGAAGTAAGTAAAGTGTAACATTTCAATATTTTTTAAGATTTTTGCAACAAAGGAAGCACCTACCTACTTATATATCTATTAGTTACACTCTGTCAGTCCGTGCATTGCTTTGTGTTGAAAATACCATTTTTTTACAATTTATGTATTGAAATCACAAACATTTTTCAAATTCCGCAAACGCAGGAATATAACGACCAGCTTCTTTTATTGCGAAACACTAAAATGAAAAAATGGGCATTAAAATTAACCGTTGTCCCAAAATAGTTTTGAAATTCTTTATAAGTTTTTTTTTTAGCCGTTGTAGAGGTCTAAAATTTTATCGGGTTTTTAAATTTGATAAATAACATATATCGTCGGAATAAGAAATAATTCTAGTTCGTTCTCTTCCAAGCAAGCTTTTCCAAATTAAACTTTACTACCCAATTAATTAAACTAGTTAACGTATATAAAAAATTGTAATTATTTATTTTAGCTTGCTAAATTAACAGTCGAAATCAAGTCTCATTCATGCTTTCTTTTAACATTTGTTTTTTTTTTTTTTTGAGAAAATTAAGCAATCATTTTTTACCTTCATATTATTATGTTTATATCCTATTAAATTTGGTATATGTGTATACAATAAAAATATAATAATATGTATGTGATAATGCTTATGAGGGATCTTATAATAAGTGGATTATACGAGTATTATTACGAGTAAGTATTATTACGAGTCGAAATTTCCAAAGTTACCTTATTTCAAAATTACTAAGTATACCTTACTACTTAGGAAAAGAAAATCAAATGCATTTGAGTTGTCTAAAATTTACTTATGTATGTAAGTAAAAAATTGTCTCATCTCAATTGAAATATGCCTGCATTTATGTATACGCATTTATTTATTTATGTATACCAGTAGATATATGGATTTTAAGTAAAAAGTGAAAAGTTCTCCAATAAGAGTGGGTTCTCGGAAATATATCCATATGTGCATATAGCGTTTCGAAATTTCACTCGTTTCGAAAACATTTTCAGATGAAAATTAAAAATTAAAATAATATTTTAAACATTTTTTTTTTCATAACAAAGGTCATTTTCAAAAGGTCAGTGATCAAAATAAGTTTCAGTAAAACATGATGATAATATTTTCAAGTTTTCAAAATATTCAGAAATGGGAAGAGGAACAAACACATCTTGAAAACAATGACTCAAATATTTTGACATATAATCTTTTCTTTGAAAATTGCTTACACTGGTAAAAATTTATATTTGAAATTGAATTCATTTAAATGTATTAATTAATATATTTTTATAATTTATGAAAGAAATTTTTATGAATCCTTTCATATAAAACTTCTTTTATTTTTTTTATTTTCCATTAATCATATCTATATAAATTTAAATTTGGGAAACATGTTGACCTACATATAGGAACAATAAAGATGACAGAAATTAAACTCAAGGAATAAGTTTAATGAGAATTTCAATGAGAATAGTAAAAATGTTAGATTTATAGGGAAAAATTCAATAAATTCAATATGAATCCAAAAGTTAAAAATATTTATTTTAATTAAATTTTTGTAAAACATTTTTTTATATAAACTCGATTATGTTTTTGTAACATAAATTTACTAAAAATAATATTTAAAATTTTAAAGATATATTTAAATAATAACTATTAAGATCGTTTGTGAATTTTGTCTATTGACTAAATGCCAATCATTATTAATATTATGCTTTAAACTTGTTTTTAAGTACATATATGATTTTAAAAATTAACAAGAAATAGTTTCATTTATTAACATATTTCATGTACATATTTATTTAACGGACTCCTCATGTCAAAAATATGTACATTTATATACAATTGTTAATTAAACAAATTTTAAAAGCCTTCAGTTCATAAATTTTACACAAATTGCTTTGGATTTATGTAAAGTAGAACAATGTATTGAATTTATTCCTAAATTTTTAATCGTGCAAAATTCGTACATATACGTAAATTCTATTTATTTAAAATACTTTTCATAGGAATACCTTTGCATTTTTTTAATTTTTTATTTCATATTAAATTAAGTTTAAAGCTTTCTGGAAAATTTATATTTTTTAAAAAACAAAAAAAATGATTTATCACTTGGAATTCGGTTTGGTTTGACTTTTGGACACAGTATAATGGTGTCGTTTTAATTACTTAAAAGTCACGAGCTCGTATGGAGCGACGCTTCTTATTTTGCCTGCAAGAGAAAGAGTAACTATTATAATCACTTATAAGCATTACTATTCTTTTTAGATTTTTAGTTACTTAGAAAAAGAAATGCAACTGTATTTGAATTTTGTAAAATCTATTTAAGTAAGAAATTGTGTCACAGAAACTGGAGTGTATATGATACCTTTCTTTATTAAAACAAATCTTAAGTTATTTTCAAAAGACTTGTGTTACTTACTCGAATCACGCGTTAAAGTAATTTTTTATTTATTCAGCTACATTTATATGTATGTATATATGATACGCTATTAGAATGATAACGTTTGTGAAGTTTAATTGGATAAAGGACTTTCGAGTAATTAGACGAGGGGATTTTTTTTGTTTATAATGTACTTTTTATATGTTTTTATGAATATGTGTACGGTAAACGCTAAATTGTCTTTGCAAATTGATATATTTTAAACCTATGACATTATCTATATAGACAATAATATTCAATATTCATTAACTTAAAAAAACCCAAGCAATATCATGATTAAGTTATGTAGGGCCATAAGATCACTTAATTTTATTTCTAGCAATGTAATGGGTTTTGAAATGAAAAATTTTCAACGGTAAACCCCTTTTTTGCAATAACTGTAATATTAACATTGCATCAAAATCAAAATAGACATCAAAAATATTTATGATTTGTCCTGGAAAATACTCTCTTATGTAAAAAGACTTCAAATACCATTGTCTTTTGTTAATTCAAATTCAAAAAAATGTGGAAGAAAATTTAGAATTCCGTCCCTATAGAAATATCCGATTGAACTAAATTAAAATAAAGTTGGGTCAAACCAATGGTTTGTATTTTAGCACTTTTCCATTCAGCAAGTGAAAATTCTATAAAGTGGGGCTAACACAATGCTCGATTTTAAGGGTTAATTGTGTGAGTTAAGAAAAATAATTATAATTTTTAATGTCATGGAATTTACCGTTAACTTTTTGTGTTTTTAGAAATTTGGAAAAGCTTGCGGTTTCGGAAATATAAGGTGTCAAAAATTCAAATTTTACAAATTTCAAGGCGATAACTTGAGAGGGGGTGGAGATGGAAAAAAATTTTCTTCTAACGAAATGAACTATTTGTTAGTGTCTAAAAGTCCCTAAAAGTTCCAGCTTCTACAGGCTGGGGTCTAGAAGAAAAACGAAATCAAAAATTTGGAAAAAAAAGACTTTGGATAACGGTAAATTTTAACGGCCATTTTGTTTTTTTAAAGTTTAACTATAGTATATCGCGCTAGGAGAAGCAAGCCGCTGCCTTTCTGCGTTTGCAAAATTTCAAAAATGCTTATGGTTTCATTGCAACAAATAGTTAAAAAAGGCTATTTTTAGGGTTTTGGGGGGGGCATAACTTCTAGAGGGGGGAAGATAGATAAAAATTTTGTTCTACGAAAATAAGTTTCTAGTAAAGATATATGTACTTATAAAATTTCAGCTTTCTATCTTCAAGGGTGTAGAAGTTTTGTAAACAGACACACGGACAGACGGACGGACGGACGGACGACGGACGCACGGACAGAGTGAAACTAATAAGAACTTTTTTCAAAATTTTTTTGGAAAAGTGCTAAAAATTAGTTTTGAAATGATATTTGAAAAAAATTTGTTCTCATTTCCACATTATGAACTTTTTTTTAGGTAATATCTAGTAAGAGGTAGATCTTATAAACTTTAATTACCTTTTTGTTATATAAATTTAATTTGAAAGTTATGTGTAACAGAAATAAATAGAATACAATTTGTAAATAAAAATGTAAGACGTTTTAAATTACAGATAATATAATTAAAATAAACAATTTTAATTACTTAAATAATATTTGATATAATATTTTATTGTAAGCTTACAAATACAATGAAAATCGTTCAAATAAATTTCTGTTACAGAATATTTAACCCTTTACTCATCGTTTACTAGATTTTAACATAATAAATTTCTCACATATAAAAACAAAATCTGAGCTTGTGCTACAAATTGTCTATCTTGATATTGAAGCTCATGTCTTAAGATTAATTATTAAGAGTAAACCAGCTTAATATTATTTTTATGTCAAAAAAATAATTTTAATCTGACTCAATCACTGTTAATTGTACCATACACTTAAAAACAAGTTTTAAATTTTTTAATAAACAAATGGTGCCACAATGCGTTTTTTCTTAAAAAAAAAAACTAACCACTTGTTAAATGTGCAAATATCAAATAGAAACCTTTTTAGAATTACTACAATATTACTACAATAGAATAAAAAAGTTCATCAACATTATTATCTCATCAATATCAATAATAATTATATATTGACTTGTCCAGTTTATTGTGGAATATATTGGAAATAAAAATTTATAGCTTATGTAAATCTGTCATTCTCGTTATAATTAAAAGACAATAATCCTTTTTCGTATCTTGTTATAACCAACGCAAAAAAAAACATTTTTAAGTCATTGTAATCGTTTTAAAGAAAAATTTTCATTGCTTCCTTTTATACACAAGTATGTACATATGTACTTATTTATTTTTATTTTGACTACACAATAAGGGATGTTTTTCAATAAGTATGAATAAGGCATTTCTAGATTTTTAAGGAATGAAATTGAATTATTTTTAGTGAGATATTAATTCCTGTGCATCTATCTGTCTGTGCAGTTTTGTTTGATTCTTATTGAACAAATTATAATGAAAATTACTTCTGTACAACCATGTTAGGTCTAATGCTTTTTTTTTTGTTAGAAATGTGACAGATTTATCAAATTTTGCGGCACTCCAGGTTTTGGTAAACAGGAGTTTTATTACTGGTCAATTATAAATTTTCAATAATTTTAAAGGAAATCTTTAAAGTATATACAAACACTTATAGATATTTAGAAGTATATCGTGATAAAAACGCAGAACACATCATTAGCTATTTGGAAATACATACATATATAATAATTTTTTTAAATGCACAGTTGATTTAGTTATAAATAAATATTTAGCTTACTCTTGTGTACTCGAGTGTTTCCAAATAGTTAAAACTATAACAAAGCAGTGCCTTTAATAGTCTTCTAAACATTTTTACAGATTCCTGAATTTTGAGTTCTTCAATTTTGATTCCTGTCAGAATAAGGTTAGGAAGTTATTTAGCGTTAAATTTTTTTTAATTATAAAAATTACAGTTACAAATTTGTTGCAGTAGAAATCAATCCTCTAATACCTTTTATATAACTTTTTTAATTGCAATTTTATCTTTGTGTAGACATAGTTCTGTAATGATCACATAACAATTTTGTTTCCCATTGTACACATATGCATTAGAGCTTAATAAGTTGTCGTTACTTTTTATTGTAGTAAGTATTCTTGTTTTATGAACGTGTTTTTAGCACTTTTCCAAATTTTAAGCACTTTTTAAAATTTTTGAAAAAAAGTGCTTATTAGTTTCACTCTGTCCGTCTGTCCGTGTGCCTGTTTGCAAAACTTCTACACCCTTGAAGATAGAAAGCTGAATCTTTACTAGAAACTTATTCCCAAGGAACAAAATTTTCACCTATCTCCTCCCCTCTAAAAGTTATAACCCCCTAAAACCCTGAAAACGGAATTTTTTAACTATTTTTTTTTTTTCAGTGAAACCATAAGCATTTTTAAAATTTTCAAAAACAGAAAAATAGTGGCTGGTTTTTTTAAAGTGCAGAAATGGCGACATACCATTTCTGCACTTTAAAAAAACAAAATAACCGTTAAAATTGACCGTTATCTAAAATCCGTTTTTTCCAAATTTTTGATGCCGCTTTTCTTCAACACCGTATGTTACATGAGTCTGAAATTTGCAGCTCTTAGACTTTTATAAATAGTTTATTTCGTTAGAAGAAATTTCTTTCCCATTTCCATCCCCTTTCAAGTTATCGCCTCTTGAAATTTATAAAATTTGAATTTTTTACACGAACGGCAAGTTTTTTGAAATTTCTATAAACGCAAGAAGCTAACGGTAAATTCCATGACATTAAAAAGTATAATTATTTTTCTTAACTCGTACAATCAACCCTTAAAATCGAGCATTATGTTATCATTCATCCTAAATATATGCAATCCTAAAAATATGCAAGAGTTTTGTATATGAATGAAAATAATTTTAATAGTGTGATAGGTATACATAAACTGTATTTAAAAGCAGTATTTAACTTTATTAGAAACCGTCTTAATCTCTACATTATGTTTTCCATATTCTTTAGAAAAGGTATTTCTACATCATTTGATACAATTAACATTTTTTTTTAATTACATCCTATGAATCTTCAATTTTGTTGTTTTTTCCTCTAATCTTTTATATAGAATTCTCATTTCCATTTAACAATAATAAGGTACCTATACCAAAAAATACAAAAAATATATCAATATTATAACATACATATACATATGTGCATGCATTTTCGGTTATGTAGAAATTTTATATTTCTTTTCATTCATATAATTATAAAAATATATAAACAAAATAAAAAAAGTTTATTTAGAATGATTAAACAAAAAAAAAATTTATTATTTTTCTTAATATTCACTATATATACTATGAATGTACATATGCACATACACAAAATATATTTAAGCGTATAAAATCCGCAAATATCAACAAAAGTAAAATTTATATAAATATACATACATAAATATCTACATTAATTTTTTTTGATAGCATTTTGGACCTTACTACATCTTATTATTTTTGCTTTTTTTAAATCATACAAAAGCGTGTAAGCTTTCATAAATTCTCCCAGAAAGTGAGAACCTGTGCTCGTATAAACATTGAAAATAAAAAATTTCATTAAAAAAAAGAAAAATTTAATTTAATTTTAATAAACAAAAATATCAAGTGAATTTTATATAATATATTTTTTATTATTAAATTTATTAAAAATAAACACCTCTTATAAAAAAAAAATAAAAATAAAAAGACAATTTTTGAAGCATTGACGGTTTTTTAAACTCTTTCATGTTTTTTCTTTTAATTTAAATTTATTTGTATGTGTATTAGCATATGTGTGTGTACATAATAAAATTAAAAATAATTATTTTATAAAAATAATTTACAAAAATTTATTGGTGGATATTGAATGAAATTATTTAAAAAAATTTTGTTATTTTTTGTTATTGTTGATATTTAAAATTTTATAATTTGCTCCACTAGTAAAGGAAACCTACAAATACATTCATAACAAAATCAAGAGATAAACAAATAAAAGGTGAATATTAACTAAGTACTTTATTAATTTAATTCTTAAATCAATGTGATTTTTTTAATAAATTTTTTAACAATTTACGATCAACCCATATGATATACAAGCTTTTTTGATAAAAAACAGGTTATAAATAATTTTGGTTATTAATAGTTTCGGCGATGGTATAAAGAGCCGTCTTTGTACCATGGTTTTCGTCATGCTTTTATAATTTTCAAATATAACATAAAAGTATTAGTATTGATTGCTGTAAAATATTTAAAATATTTTGGGGAATTTTGTTAATTCAGTTTTAGAATAGTTCTAATTTCGAAAATTGTACGCTGCACACACTGAATATACATATAATTCGTTCGGAAATTACTCGCTTTTATAGAGAGTTATAAATTATGAATAGAGAATTACTTGCTGTTATAGAAGAGTTACTCGGAAATTTATTCTGTAGTTAAGAAATTTCAGAAGTAAAGCGCAGACATCTAGTTAATTTTTTTTTTGCTACCATGAATTTTTTTTTTTATTTTTAAATATAAAAATTTTGAAATTTCAAAATTTTAATTTTCATAACAATGTTATTTGTGTCATTTTCGAATGACTGATTGTAAAAAGTAAGCTTCAGAATTTGCAGACTGGTAAATATAGAAAACTTGACTGAATTTATTACATACTTTTTAATGCTGCGGCTGAAAAATTTAAAGTCAATTACAGAACTTTCAATACAGCGTACATAAACGAAAGCCTTCTTCTTATTGCCGTCTTATTTAATTTTTTGTTTATAGTTTATGAAAACATCTATATAATTTCTTATATAAAAATTGAACATTTTTTGTTAAGATATTTCACAAGTTGATGCCAAAATAACTCCGAAAACGCACAATCCATTTTTTTTTTATAACTCAATAGTCTTCCAATGGAAAAACGATAACGTAATTGCACAGATCATCTATGCATTTGTTCGATGTATGTAGGGTAGTAGTACTCAGTTTTGACTACTTAGGAGTATAGTTTAAATACATAAATCAAAAAGCAAATATCTAAATTATTTTTAGATTAATGCATCGATATTTGCATTTCATTACTCACATTATTTTAAATAATTGCAAAAATACTATAAATTTATTTTAGTTACACCTTAATATTTGAAATTTTAGAACTAATGTTAACACTTTTCATTAGTTTATTTAGAATTTTAGTTAAAAGTGAATGTAGAAATACTAAACTAAAATTGTATTGGAATTTTTAAAAATATTAATTTATACCTAGGAATCTTAACCAAACTTTTATAATTTATAAAGAAATGTGAATTTCTTTATACTGTTTAATTCTACAATAACTAAGATTAATTAAAAAATAATGTTTTTATCGTAATATTTATCAACGTGTTGAATACAAAATATTTATATATTGTTTGTTTATTTTTTCTTTCTCATATATGTTTTTTTTTTTTCATTTAAACATTAAGCACTTGAAGTACACATGCTCAGATAATAATTAATTGACTTAAAGTCTGTAATCTTATTGCTGTCAACAATAAACAATAAAAATTCCACGTATTTGTACCTAGATAGATATTATAATAATAAGGATCTTATGTCTGGGAAATTACAATATACATATTTAAATATCATTAAACAAATATAAGCATACATATAGGGACATACGTAAAGTGATTTTTTGATAATAATCCACGAATTATTAATTTATTATTATATTAATTATTATCAATATCTTTTCTATATCTTAGTCATAGATCATCAATCACATTTAAGTGTGTTTTAGTTTTATTAATATTACTCTTGACTGATAATTAATATATGTAGGTAAGGTAAAAAAGATGAATAAAAAAAATGTTTTGTTTGTTTTTGTATACAGCTTGCATAATAAGTACCTATACTTATATAAGATTAAGGAAAAAGATTAAATTTTGAAGATAATTTTGTTTTTATTTAAATTATATTATTTTAAATTAAATAAAAATTTGATTATTTGTCGTCTACATTTTATATATTTTTTTTAAAATATTAGAAAAATTTTGATTTTAACATGACCTTACTCTATAAGTTTTGAATTATTGAAATACGTGCCTACATACATACATACATTATATATGTATTTACAAATTTTGGAAGGAATCACTAAATTATCTACAATATCTAAAATTAATAACACTTAAGCGTGTCTAATATTAAAGACAGATACAATGAAATTTCCGGTTTTTTGTTTCACGGACTTATTCTATATATATATTCATATATATATACATTATTAGTCAAAGATCACATAAAATAAATTTACATTTTATGTTTTTGGATCTTACACATTTATTATTAAAATATTTTTTAAATAAGTTGAACTTACAATAATCTTATTTTGATTGTAATTTTTGTTTTATATACTATGGTATTAAGTAGAAAATTAATGCGGAACTTTTACTGAATTTTACAGATTTGAATTATGTTAATAATATTACAAAATATATTCATAATTTTAGAATGAAAACGTGTAAAACCTACTTAAAAACACATTTTTATTATTGGAAAAATTCATGATTGAATTTCGTATCATCATTATCATTTGTTGGAAATCAAAAATTTTGCATATATGCAGGCGCAGCATTAAAGTAATGTGATGTGTAGTAGATAAGGAATAGAAGTGCTTTTCTGTTTATCAACTGCAATTATTAATTTAATATTAAAATTAATTTATTTGTATTAACATTATTTTATATAGTACACCTATGAGTATAAAGGATTTTTTTCTATTCTAAATTCATTATTTAATAATTTCTTTATTGAAATACCTATGCATATATATAATAAAGGTATATGTAGAAAATTTGTTCTAAAATTATCGATATAATTATGCATAAATATTAAGTTTCTTATCAAAAATTATACAATTCTAAAAATTTGAAAAATTTCCGGTTCCTGTTGGATGTTGCGTCATATTAAATTTTCTCTTTTTCTTTTTGTGCAAATATTTATGAAAATTTTTGTTTAAAAATTATATTTAAAATACAAATTAAGAATTTAAGAGAATTTTGATTAAAAAATCCAATCATGATGTAGCAAAATTAAAATAATTAAAATATTAAATTTTAATTGCATATAAGTATGTAAATATAATTATATTTATTTCATATATATTTAATAAGTATATATTATTAGATTCAAAATATTTAATTTGTTTTCTGAGGCTGCAATACTTAGCCAATATATGTATATATATTCTAAGAAAAATCATTAATTAATTAAACAAAATAAGTTGATAATATAAATAATTCATAATTTTTATTTATTAAAAGAAAAATATATTAAAATATATTTATTTTAAACACCGCATGTATTTATAAATATATATTTATATATAAAAAAAATTTATAAAATCTGGAAATATAATCTTCTTTCAAACCGGTTTGATTCAGTTTCGGGAATAGACAAAATAACAAACAATATATAAATAAGGAGTATATTATTTTTTATTAAATTAAATTTAATTATTTGTATTTTTTTTTTAAATCAAAGTGTTATCACCATAAAGATTAATAAAGAAAGAGGTTACTCAAGGGGTCGAACGACCTTATTTTATAAATATATGCATTATTATATATTTGTATGTCTGTACTCTGTATGGACATAACATGAGTAGTTTAAGAAAAGGAATTATTGAATTGGCATTCAATATTATATTTATATGGGTACATATTTTATTTTATATAATAATAAGAATTAAATGTAATGTATATGTAGGCAACTATAACTGCATCGTTATAAAGTCCAAGTAATTTGTATTGAATTTATAGTCAGCAATATACTTATTATTTATACTTAAAATTTTTAATAAATATTTAAAAAATTAATATTTATTATGTATTTCTATATTATGATTTACATACATATATGTTGAGCACAATATGATTAATAATGAAATAAAAAAAAAAAAAAAAGAATCAGTTCAAACTGGATTTTACAAGTCATGTTAATCATTACAGATTTGATTAATAAAAGTTTAATGGGTCATGATTGGAAAAAAGTAATATTATAAATACACAAATTTAGCTACTTATTATGATACGTATTAAAAAAAATTGATTTCGAAAAATAAATACATAAATATATGTATATAATTGTTGCGTTCTATTTAATGGTGTATAACACTCTAGAAATATGCATAAAAATCTCAACTATACTCTCTTACCCAAAGAAGTAGTTGAAAGTATAGATATGACTGATTTATTCTAGTAGATGGCTAAGATTTTTATGAGGAAAATGATTGTCAAAACCTCACCATTTAAATTTATAATGTATAGGTCAGTTTTTATTCGAATATAATGTAGTATAACAGAATTTTTACACAAAATAGGCATATGCTACCGCAATTACTCCCAAATACTCTAAAAGGAACGTAAATATTTTATTTGTACAAAGGCTGTTTTCAAATCTATTTTAGAATGATTTAAGAAATTAATTTAAAAAACAACATAATAAAAACATAAATAACAGTAAAAAAGAACAAAAAAACAAAATAAAAAAAAACTAAATCTTTAATCTTCTAAAATCCAAAATAAAAACCGGATTAAGGTCAGATTGTTTTTAATAAAATTTTTATTTATTTTTTTTCTTAATATTAATTTTAAACGTCTACCCTCGATAATTTTAATGTTCGTATACACTTATTAAAAATTTTTATATTTTGTAAATATCTATACATATGTTTGTCCATTTGTAGCTTTCTATTTTAATTTTCTTTCTTACTGGAAAACTTAATGAGATTTCCAGATTTTTTAATCAAAATTAAAAATGAATTCGTATTTAATACAATAATAAAAAGAATTCACGTTTATTAGCATTAATCAACATAGCTATAATCTAATTTCACCGGACTCTCTGTTTAAACATAAGTTCGAAGTTTATCGATTTAAATATGGAAAATTTGAATAATTCCAGATCTATCAGCTGAAATATAATTATAGCTTAGTAATAACTTTCACGTTACTATTACTTTTTTTTTGAAATTTCAAATCTTAATAATAGATTAAGACGATTAATATAACATACTTATTTATTATAAAATTCTTAATTTAAATATTATAATAAAAATCACATAAAAGGGTGAAAATAAAAAATTATTGATATTTTAAAAATATTTAAAACTGGAAATCATGGTTTAAGAAGGCCAAGTTCAATATTCGTAATATGCATGTTTGTTTTTTGATAACAGGTTTAAAAAAAATAATGTAATTAAAGAAATTTTTTAATTAAAAAAATTTTGAAATATCTACTGATGGGTACATTGTATTTAATATTCAATCTGGAATAAATTTATTATAAATTTGCAAAATTTTTATTTCATAAGAGAAAATCCTAATGCATTAATATTTTAATAATTTTATACACAATAATTCAGAAAGTAGCACCACACTGTGGTGAGAAAAAAAATATCAAAATTGACTTGATAATGTCAGAATTAATTTTTCTTTTATTTTGAAATTCCAAATTGCTGTAAATAACTAAGTTAAATTCAATTCAACTAACACATATGAATGTTAAATTCAATTTTAATTTTCAATTTTTCTGAATGTCGTTTTTGTGCAATTAACTATGTGCGCTATAATATTCAATTAATCTCGAGTAATCTCGAGTATAATAGATAATTAATGTTAAATTAGCCCTATATTTTCTTACTACTTGTTATTAGCTAAATTTTTTACGTTAGATTCACAAGCAATAAATGATTTGTTTTATTTTTTGAATGTGATATAAGTCAATTTTTACAAATATTCCGATTGTTAGAGTCTTAAGAATAAAGTATCTACATCTTATATTGAAAAACTATTTTCAAACTTGTTTTTCTTTTAACAATGCCTTAAAAAATACTTATTAACTGAATACATTCATATAGGTATAATTTACATTATTGTTTGGGTGTTTTTTTTTTTTCATGAGTAGATCTGGTCTTCCTAAAACGGGAGATAAAATAATATCTAACCTTTGCTACATACTACAATAATATAAACTACACTTTTCACACAAAATGTAGTTTGATTAAAATTTGCACAGCTGTTTCATTTTGTATTCCATAGATAAAAAACCAATTTTGCAAGAGACATAAATGTTTTAAAGGAAAATTATTAAATGAGTTTGATAATTTTTAAAACTTAAAAAAAAACCATTAAGATTTTCTGTTTGCATAAAATTTTATAGTAATTAAATGCATATGCACAATCGTAAGAATTTTTTGAATTCTATTAAAATATTTAAGATACATAAGCACATATAAGGAATTATAACATTAAGAAATATAATTAAGGAATTATAATTAAGAAAAATAATTAACAATAATATTAATTTTTTATTTTTAGATATTCTTTAAAACGGAATGATAAAGGCTTGTTCATATATCGAGGAAGCTATTATAAATTAAAATTATTTTGAGGAAAGTTACCTGCTAAGGTATATAAAATTCCATAAAATATGACAAATGAAGAAGTGCTGTCGTTAGCTCCAAATGGAGGATGGGGATGGGTAGTTGTGGCTTCGGTGTGCTTAATAAATGTAAATATGATTTTGAATTAATCGAAAAAGAAACTTAATTATTACTTATTTTGTTTTTTCTTTTATTATTTAGATGTTTAACCAATCATTAATGTCAGTATTTGGTCTTTTGTTTGGAGATTTACTACATAGTTTGGGACAAGAAACTACTGGAGCTGCTTTAGTTACTAATTTAAATTGCGTTGCATTAAATTTCTCTGGTTTATTTATCGGTCCAGCTATTAAAAGTTTTTCTCCAAGAAAAGTTGCTGCTGCAGGCTGTATTCTTACTTCTTCCGGTCTTATGTTGTGTGCTCTTTCAACACAATTATGGCATGTCATAATAGGATATAGTGTTCTGGTAATAAACATTCATTTTTTGATTTTAATTTTAAAATTTTTAATGATTGAGTGTAAATAGTCATATATACTTAAATTTATATGTGTATGCATCTATAGCTATAAAAATATGTTAATTTATTCTATTGTATTTCAGTTCGGAATCGGTTTAGGTTTAATAGCACCATCATCTTTTATGGCGATAAATTCATATTTTTCTACAAAACGTGGGATAGCAGTAGGAGTATCATTAGCTGGCACTGGTTTAGGACAAATGGTAATACCACATATAGTTAGATTATTATTAGATCATTATGGATTTCAAATTACTGTTTTAACAATGGGATTTCTTGCTTTAACTGGGGTAAGTAGTTAATATTTTTTATACACATAGCTGACACAGAATAATGTTTTGTATTCAGAAAATACAAAACAATATTCTATAACAATTTAGTAAATTAGTTAACATATGTGCGTAAATTCTTACTTTAAATATATACCTTTTATTTTTTTTGTAGCTGATTGGAGCAATATCATTTCGTCCTTTGGAAGCCCCTAAACAGCACAATAATATGAAAGAAATGAAGTTGTTTTTGGATTTAAAAGACAAACCTGACTTTGAGGTAAAGGTTGTAAAAAATGAAGCTATTAAAAGTGACAAGGAGTTGATTGAAAATAATACACAAAAATTGGAACCAAGACATAATCAAATTCTCCGGAAACTTATAGAAGCAATGGATTTGGAGCTTCTTAAGGACCCTATTTTTTTAAGCATTATAATAGGGATGAGTTTAATTTATACAGCAACACAAAATTTTGCTATGCTATTTCCGTACTTTTTGCAAGTAAGACATTCTATACTCTTAATTTGAAAATTTTTTAATTTTATTTTGTTTTTTCAGTATTCAACTGGTTTTTCAAGAAAAGAAACAGCTATGTGTATGTCAGTTTTAGCTTTCACTGATTTGTCTGGTCGTTTAATTATACCAATATTAAGTAATAAATTACGTGTTCCATATAGGAATGTATTTTTGTTTGGAACAATTGGAGCTTTCATTAGCCGAGCGGTAATGGCTGAGTCTACAGAGCTTGTCAGTATAACGATAGCAAGCTTTTTCTATGGAATGATGAAAGCAGCAACAGTGTTAACAAATAATTTAACTATATCGGACCACTGCCGACCAGAAAAGTTACCAGGCGCTTTAGGTTTAAATATGATATCAAAAGGTGTGCTCGTTATGTCATTAGGTCAATTACTAGGATGGATGAGGGACCATACAAATAGTTACAAATTATGTTTACATGCTCAAAATATTTTATTAGGTGTAACAATACTATTTTGGCTACCAGAAATATTATACAAGTATATAAGAAAAATAAGAAAGACTAAAAATACCGAGCAAATCAACAACAGCTTTAGTTAGGTCATAAAATATTTAACTTCCTTACGAATACCAGTATTTTACTTAGGTTAAATGTGATATTACAATTTATTATTAAATTGTTATAAATTTAGATAATTCAATTTCTTGAAATTGTTTGAGACTGTATAATATAGTTATGTAAATACTTTAGATAAATCTTTATTTTAATTTATATTAAAAATCACAAAGTTTGTGACAAAGTTAATCTAATTATATTTTGATAAATAATATATAAGTGCATATGTAATAAATAAATTAAATATCTTTCATTTTTTGCCACATTGAGTTGAAGGAAGGAGAAAATTTTCTAAATGAAACAAAACTTTTTAGTTAGATTCCCATATAAAATTTTTATTTTACTTTAAAATTCATGTTGAAACACTTCTTGAGACAAACCACTTTTTGTTGCGTAAAATATTTTTCTTTCAATACCATCTTTAGTTATGATTCCAATCCTACAGACACCACCAGAGCTACCGTCATGATACATTGCATGATGAACGGCTGAAATATGTGAAAATTTGATAGTTATCTAATTTTGGAACATTAATTTTCACTTACATTTTTTAACAAATTCTACGCAGTCGTCTTTTGCCATTCCGGGCTTATAGAATTCTCTAGTAAATCCATAAATATAACTGCTACCAGAACCTCCAATTGTTATGGGTTGACGCAATAACATCCCACCTAATGGTATGGAATAAACTTGTCCACCTAGTTTTTTGTCCCACCCTGCAACAATTATCCCAGCAACTAAGGAATCACGATAATTGAAACAAAAGTTTCGGAATTCTGATGCTGCATCAGTTACTAATGCTTCTTCTCCAGTAACATTCCTGTTATACGTAAAACAGAAACAATTTTGGAATTAAATCAATTTTTTTAATTGCATCGAAACTTAATTTTTACAAAATCTCGCAAATATTGCGAGAATTTTCTTAGTTTTACATATTAATATTTAAAAGAAAATATGCTTTAAACTTACTCATGATAATTCAAAGAGTACGCCACTATATCAGCTATAGCTTGTGTGTCTGCTGCAGAACCACTTCTACAGCAATAGATCTTATCAGTTATTTTTGTTAATTTGTCTGTAACTCGATTTGCAACGTATGTCCCAGTACTTGTACGTGAATCAGCACCAATGACCACACCGCCATCAAACTCAACTGCCATAATGGTAGTCTAAAAGTTTTTCGATTGATAAAAAACTAAATATAAAAGATACTTTCAAATACATACACCGGTGCTTTCAGGAGCATTCATCCAATCATTTCCAAAAACCATTTTCTCGCACTCTTTGAACACCAAATTTTTATTTTAAAAGAAATCAGTTTAAATGAACTTAATAAGAATTAATTCCAAGCTTATTTTTATGTTTTACTCGGCAAATGAATGACAAGCAATTTTCTTATAAAATTTTATAATCAAAACATCACATTCTCATGTCATTATTTTCCAGGGTTAGAAAAATTGATTACTACTGTCGATTTTGACAGCCGCCCTAGTGGTGATTTATCAAAATTTAAACATTATGATTGTTCTTTTCATTTTTCTTATGGTTTTTTATGGTTCAATGAAATATCTCGACCTAAATATCAATTTTTGTCTTTAAAAATTTCCCAGAAGATGAAGCTTGTTAAAAAACATTTGTTACTGTTAAATTTAAAAAGGGGAGAAAAATAAGATCACAATGTAGTAGTTTTTATAAATAAAAGCAGCTATATTTTAATGCATTTTATACCTAAAATAGTAAAAAAACAAAACTTTTATAGTCAGTAGAGAAACATGTATTTTAAAAATAGAGTAAAAGAAGAAAAACTGAGGTACAGCTGAGAAATATCAATAAGATTATACTAGATCAATAGTAAACATTAAATAATGCTTGACTTTGATAAGCATGTATGCATGTTTGCTGATCTAATTTTTTTCTACTTTATTTCTGTACGGCGTTTTTAATTTTTCCAAATTATGAAAAAATCGAGATTCAACCAAAAAAATTTATTTTAAACAGATGTGCATGCATAAAATATGTTTTAGAGTTTTTAAACAATTTCAATGCAAAATTTTATGATCGTGAGAATAAGCTAGTTTGATTCGTGTGAGAAGAATACCAGTGTAAAAACCACGTATGTAGTAGTAGAAGAGCATTAAATATCAACCTTGCTATATCGATTCATAAAAATCGATAATTCTAATTATTGCATTTGATGGATAAAAAGTACTAAGAAAACGTGTTTGTTTTGATAAAGTCAAACTACTGTCACCGTAAGCGAAAAGTAAAAGTGATATAAACAAATAAAATTTGAAAATACGTTCTTACTGATTTAAGTAATTCTTAAAAGAAATTGTAAAATAATTATGGCTAATGTAGTACTAAGCGAAGCAGAAAAAGCATTTATTCTTCATGGAGTAGAGGTTTGCAAAATGTTTTTAAATTTATTATGAATTTTGTGTTATGATTTTAAATTTTTTATCATTGATGGCAATAGGACGAATTAAGACTTGATGGTAGATCGTGCAAGGATTATCGACCTATGGAACTAGAAACTGATATTGTAAGTCATGCAAGTGGATCAGCACGTCTGCGTTTAGCAAACACCGATGTGTTAGCAGCAGTGAAAACCGAAATAGATACACCTAATTCAGAAACCCCAAACTGTGGGAAAATAGAGTTTTTTGTTGACTGGTAAATATAACCGTACATAATGCATTGGAATTGTTTTCGAATCGTTAGAATAATTTTAAACATTCTATTGTTAGCTCAGCTAATGCCACACCTGCTTTTGAAGGTCGCGGCGGTGAAGAACTTGCAGTTGAGCTTGCTGATACATTAGCTAAAGCTTATGAATCTACTTCGGCTTTTGATTTAACTACCTTATGTATATTGACCGGTCAGCAATGTTGGAAACTTTATGTTGATGTTTTGGTAAATTTTTATTATTTTTATATTGCCTACTTTATCTATAAGATCAAAATCAAGAGCTCAAAAAATATTAGATTTTAGAATGTGGTGGAAATTTGTTTGATGCAGTATCCCTAGCAGTTAAGTCTGCTTTATACAATACAAAAATTCCAAAAGTTACAGCCGCTTTAATGGATGGAGGTTCATGTGATCTAAAATTGTCTGATGATCCGTATGATTGCACAAGGATAAATACAGAACACATACCAATTTTCGTAACTATTTGCAAAATAGGAGATGCTTGTGTTATTGATCCATCAGCTGAGGAAACAGAATGTAGTTCAGTTAGCGTTGTAATTTCAGTATCACAAAGGGATGGAAAAAGTTTTATAACATGTACACATATGGTCGGTATTGGTTCTTTGCATCCAGAAACATTGTTAAAATGTATTGAGATGGGAATAAGTGTTTCAAAATGTTTAGATAAAACTTTGATGAAAACATTGAAAATGGAAGAAAATAGGGCAGAGCTAAATGGAAAAAGAGAAATAGCAGGTTTTCTTAAGTAATTAATATTTTTGTCGATAAAGAAGCTTTATTTGCAAAGTATTAATAAATTACATACTTTGTAAGGAAAATTCGAATAAATTTTATTTCATAGATCGGCTAAATAAAGCCCTATGTTTAAAACCTTATTGTGTGTATTTTGGTTAATCCTAATTCTAAAAATCAAACTTAGTTTTTTACAAAAACTACGAGAATGTAATACTTCAAAACACATTGATTTCCTCGCATTTAGATTTTCAACATTAAAATTTTTTATCAAACTACCAATAAAATTTCATTTCAAAAATGATTTAGATTGAATATATGTACATATAAATTATATTTTCTTAATTAATTTCATTTTCCTATTTCAAAATTAAATAAAATAGTTTTTTAAAACAAAAATGAAGAACGGAACAAATAACTATAATAAGGTAATCCAAAAGTTTATCAGACATAAGAATATTCCATGGTATAAAGAATTATCGAAACAACAAATAGCCAGTGCAAATGAATTACTAAATAATTTGCGTGATGATTTGCAAGAAGGTACAACCCATCGAACAAAATTGAATCTTCAGCATCTTGGTATATCCCCTTTACCTAAAAAATTTCAAATAAATTTAGCAATGCAGTTTAGTCAAGGAAATGATCTGGCATTTTTATGGTTTTTGGCGGAATTGATTTATTGTAGTAGGGAAAGTCTAATGAATCTCAATCACAAAATTACTGTAAACCAACAAATTTTAATGTCTGTAATCGTTCATTTAGATATATGTCCAACGTTACGGGAACTGGACAAACTTTTACCAAAACCAACTAAGAAAATGAAAGTAATAGAGACAGAAAAATCTTTAGTAAAACAGAAAATCTTTTACACATCACCTTATTTGGAACCTTTATCAATTCCAATTTCTTTCAAAGCATCTCGACTTAAAGTAAAAGAATTTAAACCTAATTTTTATCCATATGACAAATATAGGGACCCAAACTTCATGAATCAAAATGAAGTAAATAGGTGGTATACAGATTTAGAGAAAATTAATATCGTAGTTAACAGGTGTGATAGAATTTTAAAAACAATGGAAGGAAATGTTAGTGAAGACACTACTCCCAGATTTTTATGTACTCAATTCCATGATATTGATGTGCTAAAACAATCTATTAAAAATTATTTAAAGGCATCGATTCAAAATAGATGCGAAAAGTTTTCCTACGTTAAGGATGATAAGCAACTTAATGAATTCATACAACAGATTAAAAATGATCTGAGGTGTATTGAAAAAAAATTTAACAAGTTATGTGATAAATTTGAAACTCGAATAAAATTACCGAAAGTAGTAAATGAGTTATTACAACGAACAATAACTGATACTAAAGATACAAAATTGTGTCGTGAAATCTTATTATGTGGAATGGATCAGTGTATAGAATTTACAAAGAGAAATCAAAATTGCAAATGTAAATTAGCTGGTAAATTAAGTGAAATTGGCATGAATTTAGATGCGCGTCTTTCCGATCATAAAAAACCAAAATTGAGCGAAAGTTCGAATAAATTTGAATTTATTAAAACAACCGTCGAAAATGCTTTGACAATTGAAAACTACAATGGAAAAGGTGAAACAATTTTTGATTTCAACAACAAAATAAATAAGAAATGTGATGGAAATACAAATGAGAGCAATCCCCACACAAACTTAAGTAAAATCAAAGGATCCAAGATTAATATGAAAATTGATCCAAATAATAACGAATTAATGAATAAACTTTTAATAGCTGGAATAGAAGAAATGAAAAAAAATCCAAAATATGTGATGGTACAATTATCAGAAGTTTATAAATTACCAGTACTTCAACTATGGATAAGAACGAGATTTGGGTACACAATAACAGAAAAACAAAAAAAAGATGCATTGAAAGTTACTAAGCGCATCTTAAATCAAATGAGTATAAATAAAATAAAAATACCATTTCCTAAAGCTAGTTCAATATGTTACTCTAAACGTTTTTCATACTTATACAAAACAGCTACCAAGAAAAAAGCAGATCTGTTAATGTCTGCATACTTAAATCAATTAAAACTTAGACTATTAGAAGATACACGAATATACTGGTATTGTATGGAAAGTGCGCACTGCAATTCTGATCAATTAAGAGATGTATTTTATTCATATTTACCAGCTAAACCTCAGGATATTTTTCCATTTAGACCATGGGGTTATAATGAATTCACTGATATGAAAACTGAACATGAGAAGCGAAAATATTTTAATAAATAATATTTTTTTGTACTTGAAAATAACAAAAATACTTATAGTTTCTTATGCATGTAATTATGTGCATATGTACATAAAAAATTTAATACGACAAATTATAAATTACAAAGTGCATTTAAAACAATTTATTTTAGTAACTATTTTTGTAAATAAATTCTTGTAATTGCTTCAATGAATTTCATTTTTGACTTACTAGTTCACGTAATTTATAAGCCATAATGATAATGAGACTCCTGTGGGTGAAAATAGCAAAGACTAAACATAAGCTGCATAAGTTTAATTTTTTTTTTCATATTTTGATAGAAAAAATTATTCAGCACGAGTTCGACACATTTTCAAATAAAGTGTATTTTTACTTTTTTCTGAATGATTGAAATTTACATTTCAGTATTTTAACTTAAAATAATATGCAAAGTTATTTTGACAAGTTTGATTTTCTAATAATTGTTTAATAAACAGATTAATAGTTCCCTATACTTTCTGTAATAAAAAATAGATTGCAAATGGAATAAATTTAAACTGGAAATTAACACATCACATTCATATTTTTTATTGTAAAACAATAAGGAAAAATGTATAACAATTATTGATTGTTTTATTTTTTTTTACATACATATTTCGATTTATCAAGAAAATAATAACAAATGTTTTATTTAAATAATTTTCATCAAACAATACATATTAGTTTTCACATATACCTAATGTTTTTGATAAGTAATGTAATTATTTTAGCTAAAAGGATTGACTTAAAATTCGAATTTATTAATTTTTCCCTAAATCATAAATAATAATCATTATTAATTCCTTTTCTTCGATTGTTTTGCGGAAACAGAAGCCTTTTTATCTTTTTCCTGTTTTGGAGGAGCACCCGTAAAGAAAGATGTCAACATTTCGCTTATTTCTGGCATATCATTAGTCATCTAAAATTTTTTGTAGAATTAGTTTATTTAAGGTTCCTACCTAACCAAAAACTTACCTTTCGAAAATTTATATTTTCCATTTCTTTCTTGGTTTCTGGATCACTCATCATTTTGGGAAGAATTAACATTAGGAATAATGGAAGAATCATCATAAGAACCATTGGACTGAATAGAAAATCTGTGATCTTCCATTGTTCACGTTGTTGAAAATATCTGAACCTCGTTAGAGCTTTAAGCTTCAAAGGATATGGAATTTGAATAACTTGTGCAGGTTGTATGTAATTTACTCTTCTGGCTCTAAATTTTCCTTTCGGGTTGATTTCCACTCGAACCTAGCAAATACATATTATTTTATCGTCGCCTATATTGTACATATATTATTGATATGTTATTACTTACTGGTTCATAAAAATAATCTGGATTGTGAATTTCTAAAACGTAACTTCCAGAAGGAACACCACTTATAACAAAAGTGCCATCGTCTCTAAGGAAACCTTTGTATTCCCCACTATTTATAGATATTGATGTGTTTTGTTGCCAGTATGAATCGGCCGTGTATAATTCTGGAGGATAAACTCTTCCTTCAATTACATATCGGCTGGTATTCTCCTCAAACTCATCTGATTGATTTGATATTTGGTCGCAGTGCACACATTGGAATATAAAGCTAAATGCAAGTACACTAATGAAAAATTTCATTTTAAATTTTGTACTCAGATTTGTTACGGTTACTTATATATATTTATTTAGAAAAACTTGTGAGCAACCAACTAAATTTTTTACGTTTCGCGACAGTTGTTTTAATGGATTAAGATTTGACATTAATGGCATTGATATCGAAATTCCAAATCACAATTAATCGAAAACAATCGATTCTTGCAAAAGTGCTAGTCAAACTTTTATTTTGATTAAAATTTGTTTGACAAAGTTATCAAGAAAACATGAGATCTAACAAAATTTTGACTATGATAGATTGGATACCTTTTTATAGGCTATTGTAAATATAAATTGATTTATTCAAAATCAAAATGTTCTATAACCTTATAACCTTTTCGATACATATGTTAAAAAATCATTTTAATTTAATAGAAACAGAGGAGAAAAGTTAAAGCAACCGGATGCCTATTAGACTATCGGACTAGATCCGAATATTGTACACATAACGAGGGGTTGATATTAATACAAGAATATATTGCAATAAATAATATTAATTATATTATAATATTATAACATAATTATTAAAACATAATTAATACTCCAAGTAATTCCAGTGTCAAGCAACATGTCAATAGGTGCAATAAAATATCACATAATCGCAGGTAAGAAGTCACCAAGTCAGAAGGTTTATAGTGGATAAAACATGTGATTGGTGGAATTATATAAGATGGAGTTAGTGATAACAAAAAAAAAATAACTAATACATAAAAGGAAAATAAATGACCGACCATTAAAATAATGACCATCAAGAGAATAAGTAAATGTTCTCAACATGAAACTTGAATAACTGGATTTCATTTAAAATAACAAAATTACTGTATTTATTATACCTTCTTCTTATCAACGTCCTTAATAAACGTCTTATTCGAAAACACAATTTATTACATATGCACTTAACCATAAAAACTACCTAAAAGTCATAGATTTACCTTTCATTATTATTGACTGAAAGTAAATCATCCAATAAATATAAGGAAATTAAATTCATTTGCTCACATGAGTTTTCCTCTTCCAAATGCTAAACATGTTAATTTACATGTTGCTCAAGCTTTTACAAAAAAAAAGATAAATTTATTTTTGAGAATCATGGTATTTTAAATTTTTCGATTTACGATATTAAAGCTTCGTTTTGACATAAGAATAATTCTGAAAGCTTTTCTAAAATATACAAACCAGTAAAATTTTTAATGTCAACAACTTGTTTTGTTATTTAACTGATCATGACTAGAAATTTACTAAATTTACATACCAGTTATAAGTAGAGATGTCACTTTATCTGAATTTATCTGAATTTAATTTCAATGTGCAATGTATCAGTTATCTTCTATACCTTTTATTGCTCATTCTTGAAACAAAAACTACTTTGCTGGCAGGAGATATAAGCGGTCTAGTTTGGGATAAAATGAGTTATGAATTTATTTTTATAAAATTAATTCAAAACTATTTTAGGAAACAAATATGGAAAAAATAAAAAAAAATGTTATCTGACTGTATCTAACTGGATACAAAGGTTTGGAAGTGTCACCTCTAATTGTGACGTCAAAAACTGGATTTGGTATATGCCTTTACTTGTAATGTAACTTGGTTTAGATAGACCATGAAGTTTGATCTTTATTTTAGTGCGTCAGCTATTTGTTAAAGAGAAAGTTAGACTTTGGATCCAAAATTGTGTAAATTTTTGTAATTTCGAAATATTTAATACGAATTTAAATTTCAAAATCTTTGAACCTTAATAAATCTGCAATTTGCTGATATTTTACAATTAAAAAATTTGATATATTAAAAACTTTTTAATAAAGATATCTACAAGAGGAAAATTCCATTTTGGAAAATGACTGAAGAACAATCACCGTTATTAGAATTTTATGCTAATAAAAATATTTTTATTACTGGGGCAACTGGTTTCGTAGGAGTATGTTTGATAGAAAAAATACTTCGAGATATTCCAAATATTGGAAAATTGTATGTTTTATTACGACCAAAAAAAGGTAAAACTATTGAGGAACGTTTGGAAGAATTAAAAAAAAATTCAGTTTTCAACACATATTTGGAATCAAACTCAACAGATGTTTTTAAAAAACTCGTACCTATACGTGGAGATGTTGGCTCTGATGATCTTGGAATATCGAGTACTGATATTGAAATTTTGGCAGATAATGTGAATATTGTTTTTCACTCAGCTGCAACATTAGACTTTTTTCAATCATTGAAGGAGACTACTAATATTAATTTATTAGGTACACGAAGAGTTATGAAGTTATGTAAGCAAATGAAAAACTTATTGGCTGTTGTACATGTTTCATCAGCTTATGTAAATTCATTTTTGTTGGAAACCAAAGAAATATTATACCCAAGACCAGATGATCCTGAAAAGATTATTAGTTTAAGTCAGTCATTAAAAGATGAAGCATTAAAGGTATTAGAACCAACTTTTCTAAAAGATCACCCAAATACATACACTTTTACTAAACATTTGGCGGAACATGAAGTAAATGAATGTTCTAAATTATTTCCATGTGCAATTGTAAGACCAAGCATGATAACAGCAGCTTGGAAAGAACCTTGTCCTGGGTGGACAATTTCAAAAAATGGTCCACAAGGATTCTTTATGGGTGCATCAAAAGGTGTTATTCGACGATTACCTTTAGATCCAAAAGTGATTATGGATTACATTCCAGTAGATATAGTTGTTAATCAAATTTTGGTAGCAGGTTATTATGTTTGGCAAGAAAAACAAGCAAATCCTGATAAAGAATTAGAGTTAAAAATATTCCATTTAACTTCAAGTACATACAAACCATTCCGTTTTGAAACATTAACTGATAAAATGAATTCATATATGCACAAATATCCATTAAAATCAGCTGCATGGTATCCACATATAAAATTTGTTAGAAGTTTATTTTTATTTAAAGTAAGTGCCATACTGTTTCACTTTTTACCTGGATATGTTTTGGATTTCATAACAAGATTAATTGGAGGCAGACCAATATTAATAAAACTTCATACAAATGTATGGAATTCACTTAAAACTTTGGAACGTTTCATTTTTACTGAATGGCATTTTGATAATACACAAACTTTGAAGTTGGCAAAAACATTAAAACCATTTGATAAACAACATTTCAATATTGATATTGGTGAATTAAAATGGGAAGAATATTTTCTAAATCTTCATTTGGGAGTACGTCAATATTTAAATAATGAATCACCAAAAAATATGGAAGCTGCAAGAAAGAAAAATAATATTTTACTTGCTTTTCATGTTGCTATACAACTTTTATTTTATTATTTAATTTGGTGCTCATTTGGTTGGATATTTGGAATTTCAAATGCTAAAGCAGCATTATTATTACCAATTTTCTATTATTTATTTAGTCAGTTATAATAATGGAAATATGAAATCAGCTATGATATTGTTTTTTTTTTGTTATTTCTCGAAAAAGAAAGAATTAATATGGGCCCTAATATTAAAATTTGGGAAACAAAATTATAATCTCATTATTTGAATAAAATTTTAATACGTATTGTAAATGGTGATAGAAATTACTGATAATAAATAAATAATTAGTTCTTGATTTATTAATACATAATATAATATCTTTTATGATTTAATAAAAAGTTGTAATTGATCAATAGCCACCAATTCAAATAAGAAAGAAAAGAAAAAGGGAAATAATATTTTAAGCATTTAAAAAACAGGAGATTAAATGTACATGAACATTTTTTATTTTGTATTTATATACATTTTTTAACTATTTTGTTTGTTTTTGTCCTTAACTTAACCTAATTTTCTTTTCATTACATTCAACAATTAGGTAACACAGCATATAAAATACTAAGCTTAAGAATATTGTTTCCTTTTTTTTTCAAATATAAATACATATTAAATTTTATATTATATTGGTTAAATTTTAAAAATTTCGTAATAAATAAGAAAATACATATTTAGTTATTTCAGTATATATATATAGATATATAATATGTAGGTGAAAAAAAAATGTTTATTTTGTAGAGGTTTATCAGGAACAAAAAAAAAAAAAGAAATCATTTTTTATAATTAAACACACAATATAATTTTCTATTTGCATCATACTCAGTTTAATATTTTGTAAATCAATTAGTATTATTTATTTATATATATACAAATATATATTAACATAAATATATACTCTGAACAAAAATTCCGTACCTAATAAGTTTCTTAATCAAAAAAACATTAAAAAACATTGGCATTATAATTTATAACTTAGTTAATAATTAATAATTACATACAAAATAATTTCATGTTAAAAAAATCATTTTTATAAAATTGTACAAAAACTTTAAATTTCTTTTCAATATTAAAGATATAAATTAATAAAAATTGAAATTTTACAAAAAAAAAAAATTTAAGAATTTACTAACTAAAGTATTGAATTCTAATTATTAATTAAATAATTGTTTATTGGCATATTTTGGCTATTTTTTAATTTGGTATTTTTGTTTTACTATTTTGTTTTGTATTTTTTTTTCTTTGAAATCATTTGAAATTAAAATTTACATTTTTTGTTAAATTAAACCAAATGTATGTACTTATTTTTGTTTTAAAACTTCAAATATATGCATTAAAATAAAAAGAAAAAGTCCAAAACCTTTTATTTTGTTTTTAGGTTTAATAAAGGTATGTACAGTATATTGTGCGTTTATTATCGTCCATATTTTTCATTCCAGTACAAATTTATTTTTAATTATTCCAATAAATAAAAAAAAAAATTGTATTTTTTATATTTTTATATTTAACAGTAAAAATTAACATTTTCTCTATTATATTTCTTATTTATAGGAATTTTAATAATTATTTTTTATTTTTATTAAATGACAAATTTCAATTAAATTTAAATTCAATCGAATAATATTTTATAATATATTGTAATAACTTATGTAAAATAAAAAGCAAATATTCTTATATAAATAAGCCGCTGCAAATATTTGAAAATATTTTAATGTTTATGAATTTTATTTATGAATTTTGTTAATGTTGCATTATATGTACTTATATATATTATGTACTTGTAATTTACAAATACGGTAATACCGCTGGTAAATTAATTTAAAATGAGTGAGAGCAGGTTTAGCATATTTCTAAATCGGATTTTGATACTGTGTTAGAAGATTTAGGATCAGTTGTAAGGAACAAATTTATGTAGATACAATGTAAGGATTACACTTAACATTTTTATTTAATTTTTTAATATTATTGATTTATTTAAAATGATTTAAGTTTTCGACATTTTCAAGTGATATTTTTAACAAATTTTAATAAAATTATAATATGCATTATAGTAAAGTATGGGTATTATATGAAAATTATATTGAAATACAAACGCTATTCCATTTATTTGGAAATTAATCTTTTGGCCGTTTTGGATCATAATTTTGCATGAGATTTGTACCAATTAAGACTTTAGTACAAATGCAGTTGATTGTCGTTGTTTTTTTTTGTGTTTAATACAAAATTTTTTTGTTTAAGGTTTAAAAAATTGGTAATAAAAATATACAATATAATTAATTGTCCAAATAGAGTTTTAATTGAAGTAAATTAAAGATAAAACGGAATTTATAATCTTTGTGACTGTTTCAGTGGATGAAAAAACAAGTTTTGCAGCAACATTATATAAGAACAGCTTTTTTTACAATTAATATAAGTACTCACTTAATTTTTTTGTATTTATTAAATTGTATTTATTAAATAATTTATAATATTATAAATTCTATTGTCCCTTAATAAGTTATTGAAAAAAAAAATAATGAAAAATATTTCATTGGAGAGTTTAAAGCTTAAAATTTAAACCACTTTGGTTTTTTAATATATTATTTATTAATATAAATTTTAAATCCATAGTAATTTCAGAAAACAAAAGACTAAAATTTCTTTTTGTAAGAGAATCAATCTCTTATTTAATATTTTTATTTATCTACATTATTATGTATAATATAATGTTTTCTTGTTAAATTTTTATATTGAATGTAAAATGTTTTAAAATTTATTTTTATAAGTTTTTTTTCCATTTTATACATATTTTTTTTACATATCATGTTCATGTATATAAATATATATACTTGTACATATTATAAGTTATACAAAAAATAAAAGGAAGAAATTTCTTTCCTAAGGCAAAAAATTTTAAAACAGTAGTTGTATCTGTGTTTTTTTGTTTCTTAATTTCTTTTTGTTTTCAATTAGATATTCATATTAAATAGTTAATATTGTATAAGAAAATAATAAAATTAAGAAATTGGTAAAATTTGTTCGTTAATCCTATATTATAATTTATTATTAGGTTTTTTTTTCTTTTTGTTTGTAACTAATCCAATTTAATAATTTATTTTTAATTTCCGGTATAATGGGGATTATATGGCGCTTGTTTATTATATGGAGCTGATGCAGGTCCTGTTGTACCTACTACTTGATCATATGATGGTGGTAATACATCTTGTGGATTTTGCGCTGGAGGATATGGAGCTTGATATCTACAAACAAAAAAAAAAAAGATAAATAATAATTTTATGAAAATATAAAAATATAAATTAATTGAATTTAGGCCTTATTAAATGTATAAACTAAAAACATTTTGCAAATATGTCTTGATATTATTAAAATAAAAATGTTGAAATTTTTTAAATTTACCCTACGGGTTGCGCGGGTGGATACGGGGTATTTGTTTGTGGCATTGGCATGCTATAAAAAGAAAAAAAAAATGGAAATTTTTTATTTGAATTATGAAAAGAAAAAGAAATTATAAATTTTTATACAAAAGAAATTACAGAAATTATAAATACTAAATTAAATTAAATTTTATAACAACTTACCCAGTATTGTTTATTGGATACGGGACACCAGTATGTACCGGTGCCGGTTGTGGCATTGGATAGGAAGGTTGACTATATGGTGTATGGGCTGTTTGATAACCTCTTACTGGTTCATCAACTGGATAATTCACACCAGCATTTGGTGGAACATGTGTTGATGATGTGACTACAACTGGCGCTAAAAATAAAAAAACGAAAATATAAAAATTAATTGTATAAATGAATTAATTTTTTGTTTTTAATACGAGTATTAAAAAACATGTAGACGGTTTAATTTTTAATTCTTAAAAAATATTTTGATAATTTATTTATAAAAGAAATGAAAAATTGAACAAGACTTAAATTTATTTCCAATAATTTTTTAATTTGTGCAAGTCATTATTGTAAGTAAGAATTCTTGCGTGTATTTGGGAGTTTGTTTTTTTTCCCTTAAATTTGACTCAAACCACTGACTTCTTTTACTGGTGATTTTATTGAATTATTACTTTTGAAACACTTTGCAATTTTGATTTATCGAAAATGCTTTATATTACCAACTAAGTTAAAACAGAATTTTCGAAAATTCCCTTAAATACACAAATAAAAATTTTGAATTTTATGTTGTCTACAACTTTTATTAGAATAATGTTTAAAATTTATTGTGAAATTCAACAATTTTTATTTTGTATTTGTAATTTTAAGTTTAAATTGCATACATTTTTGTTTTTTATTTTGTGTAGGACTTAACGGATTCTTCACTTGCTATAATAGGCAAAAGAAAGATTTCTAACTCTAAAAATAGCTAGCTGTTTAATTTATCTATAAATTTAACTTGGGCACGAAAAGTATACCTTCTTAGTCTTTTCATATTTTTTAAATCTGCAAGTTAGCTGTTTGCTTCAGAAATATTGTTAAAAAAATAAATTATTAAAATTTAACGGGCCCTATTCAAAACTAAAAATGATCAATTTAATAAAAATGTATTTTCACTTATTTAATTTACAAACATCTATTAATAATATTTTTAAAATTATTTTTAATAATATTCTGTATTCTATACTAAAAATCAATAAAATTCCTAATTTCGATAATTTTTTAATGATAAGATAAAATTACACACACTTTCACATATAATTCATTATCTAATTTTCAAACAGAAATATTAATTAAATGGCGATAATTTACCATGAAACAGTGGTCTTCTTTGAGTATTTCCCATTATTTTAATATATTTATATTGAGAGAGTTTATTTTTTTATTTAAATTAAATAATTTAATATAACAATAATTGAGTATTTAGTAATAAATTATGTTCAAAGGTAAACTAAAACTAAAAATAAATAATAATAAAAATAAACGATTAAGTTTAAAAAGATTTTTTTTTAATACTTTCACTTCAAGATTCGAACGATCAATGGGGGGAAAATTGTGTGATTCACGTTTTTTATTAAAAAAAAAATTTTTATTTAATTATAGCTTTTGTTGATAAGATATTCAGAAATATTAAAGTATGTAAATTTCTAAATCAGAGTGTGTGATTTGCAAAAAGATACACACATACATACCTAATAAATAATATTTGTTATTAAGTATAAACAAAAAATTAGTCATAGTATCGGATTTTTTTCAAGATATTTCTAATTTTTAGTTCTTTGATATTTTTGAAATTCAAATTCAAATAATTTTTTTTAAATTAATATATAACAAAAATTATGTTTTTTATTTTTCAAAAGTGATATACACACCCCCAAGAATTGGAGGTCATGATGTCCGAAATCTTTGCGGTTATTTGCAAATTTTAAGAAACTTATTAAGGTTTTATACAAAATATTGAATGCAAACATTCAAGATGTTTTGTATTAAATACTGTTAAAAAAACGAAATATTACAATAAAAATTGTATTATACATATATTTTGAGTTTCACCGGAACTACTTTCTGGAATTATGTACTTAAAGAATGGAGGTGAAAAGAGTTCTAGAATTGCAATGTATTCGAAATATGGTAGGAGAAAGGGATCGATTCAAGAATGTAAACATTATACCATTTAATACCATATCACTCAAATTTTGAATTTAGGGATTATTTTTAACTTGCACTATTTAACTTGGAAATATTTTGCCACAATATAAGTAAGGATATTTATTAGTAAAATTATAAACTACGAAAATATAATTAAATTTTATTACTGAGTCTAAAATAATATTTTGTTATCGATATTGTATTGTAATTTAAAAATAGGGACGATATTACATTAGTCACAATATGATTAGAATATTACACTTTAACGTACGCCCTAGTCATTTAATAGATCAGTTAATTGTTAATCTGGTTCAACTAAATTTATTTATTTTCAATTTCAACCGGCTTCTTTTCATAAAAAGAAGTAAAAACAAAACACAAATAATTTTGAATTCTTTAAGAATACTGTGAAAGTTAAAAATTTTTATTCTTTTGAATAAAATTATTAGCTACGCAATATTTAAACAGGTGTAATAAGAAATATAACTAAATATTAGTAATTATTATATACATGTATATTAAATTGTATACATGTAGTTATATATACTTATGTATATGTATACATTTTACTCATATTTTAGCAATGAAATTGTGTTAAAATAAAATCTTATAACTTCTTATAATTAAAGATATTATATAAAATTTAATACACATTGGACATGAGATAAATACAAATTTACATGAACTTATACGTAATATGACAAAGAATAATATAAACATATGTGAGTATGTGAAATGACAGCCAACCTGCCTTCTACTTAGAATAAAAATTATATTTTTAATTTATATATGTACGTATGTGAACAAAATTAATTTCATTTTATTGAATTAGCGTTATAATCAAAAATTATTAAAATATTATTCATACTATTATTGTGGTCTCAGATACAAATTAGATGATTTAGATTAGATTACTACTGTTATTAAATTGATGATTTGGGGTTTTTTTTTTTTTGTATTTTCAATAAACTTAAAAATGATTAATTAACAATTGAAGGGGTAAGTGGACAAATGGGTTAATTTACATTTGCATTGTGACACATTTTTTCATTAACAAATTGTAAAACTATATTAATTTTTTTATTAGTTGTCTCCTATGTGCACTGTCAATCTCGTCTTCTATTAAGTTTCTAGCTATAAGAGTAATCACAATTGAAAATATATGAATTTAATGATGTTCTATCCGAAAAGCTCGATTTTCGTCAAAATGTTAGTTAACCCATTTGCCCATTTACCTTTTCAATTGCTTTAATTAGAATATTTGAAATAATACATAGATACTGATAAAATATAACAGTAAAATTTAAGAGTTTATCGTAATCTAATTACATTTAATTTTTACGTTAAAATTAATATTGTGTTTAAAATAATATTGCTTATTGAACAATTTTATAATATTAGTCTTTCATATTAAATTAATTTTAAATTCAATAACAAATATTTGTAAAGTAGGGCAGTCAAAATTATGTCCTAATATGTACAATTTTAACTATTTTATTTTAATGTTATTTATTTTTTAATATTATGTTATGCATGTAATATAATATTTTCTCTATGTATACCAATAATATAATAATTAAGCATTAAAATAATATAGGGCCTCTTCATTGTACTGAATGTTACGCAAATACATAATATAAATATTAAGGAATTTTAAGTTCTTTTAATTTAAAAATTTTAAGTTAATAAGGATTATTTCGGTGATTAGATAGAGTACCGTATGGCTCTAGTATATATTATTTCTGTATTTTTCAATAACAATCTGACCATTGGTGCAGTGGTTATGGCACCGGGACTTTAAACGAAGTGTCTCGGTATCAAACCCCGGTCAGGTCACTATAAAAATTATATTCAATATTATATAACTTAATATGCAATACTAATAAATATTATACAAGTAATTTTCAAATATTTATAATATTCGATACTAAAGACTAAGAAAAAAAAAACAGTAAAATATTAATAAACTGAAATATAAAATATAAATAAAAACTACGGTAGGCTAGTCACCTACCTAGCTAACTCTCTATGACTATAGAAACTAGGGCATGATAGATATCATGGCACTAGCCCTATACTCCTCCTAGGAGTGAAGAAGGAACAAAAAAAAAAAAAAATTTTTTTTCAATAACGCATATAACTCGCATACACAAACATAATATGTAAATCACACAAACAAAATCCAGTATGAATCTCCTAGTCAGACTAGTTTACATATGATTACAAAATTAATGTAGCAATACAAATGTGTGCAAATCCACATATATCGTATTTATTTTTACGTCACTTATTATCGAATTTGACGTGTTTTGATGAATAAATTATGTACGTCATTTTATTCACTATATCTTATTCAGTATATAGACAATAATAAATATTATTAAAGGAGCGTGTATGAAAAAACCAAAATCTTTTAGACTATAAGTTTAAGGTGATTACTTAAAAACGGAGTTCTGTTTTATGTAATTGCATTGATTTGGTATACTTGAATCAAAAACAACACCATGTCTTTAAATTTTATTAAATTAATTAAAAGTTGAAGTTTTTGATCTACATTTTTTTTTAAATATATTTAAAGATCAAAACAAAACTATGTGTATAACAAAAATATTTTTATTAATTCTTACATACCATATATATCTCTATGTATTTGTTGTGCAGAATATTTATTAGATTTTTTTCTACAAATACATATTAGCCAACATAATATAAAAAATATAACAATACCTAATACACAGAAACTAATATATAATGATTTTGTATGGGCTGTTTTTGGTGTATTATTTTGAAGGTTATAAATGTAAATTTGATTTGAATTATTTAAATTTGAAATTTCATCTATGAAATGTGGTAGGAACATCTTTTGATTAATATTATAATCGTACATCATATTTTGTTCTATTTGATTTTTAAATGTTATACTATCATTATTATTTGATAATTTTTTATTATCAGAATATAAATTGTAATCATCTAAATTATTTAATGAATATGACATTCTTCAATTTTAAATAAATTTTAATATTTTTATGTAATTTTTCATTAATTAAAGAAAATTTTTCTAATTTTTATCAAATTTAAATTATGTAGAATTCACTTGTAATGTACGTATGTATGTATATGTAATTATAATTTTAATTTTACATTAAAATTTTGTAAAATTTTTTTAAGGTAGGT